AACCCCAACCCCAACCCCAAACCCAACCCCAACCCCAAACCCAACCCCAAACCCAAACCCAAACCCAACCCCAAACCCAAACCCCAAACCCAAACCCAAACCCAACCCCAAACCCAACCCCTCCAAGCACGATGTGTCTCTCTATTGAAACTATTAATCCAAATTATTATTATTAATCATTTTAAAGAATTTATAGCATTAGAGGGATTAAACAAAGATTTATTTAATTTCTATAAAAATTAATAAATGTTATTAAGCAAGGATAACAACCGTTATTTATGAAATTAATAGAAAACAATTTGTTAACCTAATTGGATTAGAGGATGATTGGTTTATGAAATTGTAAATAATTTCATTTCAATTTAAATCAAACTTCGAGAACAGAAAAAAAAATTACCAGCTCAAAATGATATTGGAAGTAAATTAAAGCTGAAATTTTTGTAATTTTAAATTTAATCATAATTAATTATGCAAATTGTGGAAATAACTATAGAAAGTCCATCAAAATTAGTTCTAAGTACACCTTGAATAAATAGTATCAAATTGGTATAAATTAATTAAATAACTTTAATAGGAATTATATACAATAAATAATAATTTGAATAGGAGAAAATTTTAAGGAGTTCGAATCTGAAAATCCAAAGTAACTAAGTTTTAAGATATTATAACATTATAATTCCAAAAATATCCATATATTATTCGAAGATCTTAGCTGATATTTATAAATAGTATGCATGAATTACTTTTCCATCAATCAAATTCAACATGTAATGTTAGTTAATAAATTATAACTAATTATGAAGTATAAAATAGCGCAATCTTGATAAATTAGCTCTGAAGCAAAATCTGATAATTTTTATTTGATTATATGGATGATGGTTATCAATCATGTTAATCAATTTAAGGGTTTTGTCACTTACAATGTTCTGATATTTTTATGTTGGATATATCAAAATACATATCAATTACCTAAAATCAACTGAAATTGCAAGAAGGATATTGGAGGCCTCGTTAATTATCTGATTATCCTACTTACAATAGAATAGAAGAATATTAAATATTGTGATAAATTTGAAATTGATGTTCTAGGAACAATTTAGAATAGTACTTTAATTTTGGCTAATTAAGTATTATTATATCATATAGAAGTAAAACAATTAATATAAAAATTCAATATCTGTTACTATTTATTTTTTATATATCTTTTTCACAATCATACTTTATGGTATAAATCGATTATGGAATAATCAAATTAAGTATAATTATAATGATATTGGAGATGAAATCATGTATATTGCATTTCAACTTTGCTGAATTATCTAAAATATAAACAAAAATCGAAGATTGTGTAAAATTAGAGTGCTAAAACCTAAGTAGCAGTTTTTTTATATTAATTAGCATTATAATGAATTCACCAACAAAATTCAGAAATTCTAATCTATTTGCAAGATTGCATATTATCTTTAAGTAAATTTCCAATATCATCTAATACTTAAGCGAAATCACCTTCTTGCCTGAAACAGTCTTCATTTTTAATGGCAAAATACTTGAAGGTTTGTTTTTGTTTTTACATATCAAATTTAATATCAATCAATTGTCTCTATTAATATGGTCAACATTAAGTGTATTAATTTCTACTCCTCTTTGCTTCTTATACATATATCTAAAGAGTTTTTAATTGCAATATCTCCCTATTCTCCAATCTCTTGCAAATTTAATTTAGTTTCATTTTGATTTCACATGAATTTATTTATTTTATTTAATTTTAGGTCTATTTATAAATACATTCTGAAATCTCTCCAAATAAATCTAAACCCTAACAGAGCTCAATTACCCCTTTTTGGTATGATCTTATATTATTCTTGATATATCTTTATATTACAACTACTATTATTAATAATAATTTTACATGAGCTGTCGCAAACTTAGTATATCAATGCGATCTGTAATATTGATGTGTTTCTTTGTTCTACGCTTATAATATATCAATTTATCTTAATTCATTGTGAAATATTTTTGACTTAACTTCAATTAACTTAGTAAATTATAAATGAAACAAATCAAATTAACTATTCTCTTTATAAATAGGTTTGTTAACACATATAAACATAATTTCTTCCCAAAATGATTTTTTCTTTATCTTTCAATTCTTGATGCAATTATAAATTAATAATGACAAAAAATCCATTTAAAATTACATTTTAATTTCTGAACAATAAATATTGATGATATTTATAAATGCAATTAATATTATAAACTTAGAAAATGAATAAAATCAAAAAAACATATTCATCAATTATGCCTATTTTGCAGAGTATAATTTTGGTCATTTACTAGAAAATTTTGCAATTGATTATAAAAATATTTTCTCTCTTATTCATTTTTATCTTTAATTTTTTTTTGTTAATAACTATCATAGATTTTGTGGATTTACACATATATGTCGATGAAGAGGTTAGAAGCTAAAATTGAGCAAAACATACCTATATGTACCCAACCAAAAAGCATATAACTATCTTAACTAAAATCAAAACTATAAATTAGAAATGTTCCAGTTATTAACATTACTAGCAACTCTCTACAAATTAATTTTCGAAGTTCATATTGAGATTACAATGGTTTATATTTGATTAAGTAAATCAAATAGAAAAATGATAGCATAGAGAGTAAAATTGATTATGCTTCAGGATAATTCATTAATTGAACAATAATCATTATGTAAAACAATACTCTGTAAATTTAGAAGGACTTACATTAAACTTACCAAAACGATGTTTTCGATTCAAAATAAAAATATTTCCATTTCCTTAAATCTTTGATTTCAGCGGAAGTAATTGTAAATAAATTGAAAGCCACAAAACAGACAAAAAGTAATCCCATCATTGCATTAATGCTGTTGAAAATTTCAAATGCACTATTAAATTAATAGTTTGGAAATTGTAATAATGTGCTGAAAATAAGCTAGTGTAAAATCGCTTAATAAAGTTTAAATATACCTAAAGAGAAATATTCAAACTTCAATTTTAAGCACTTTTTCTGAATTTTCTCTTAAAAAAAATCAATACATTTTAGAATTTTAGAATTTGGATTTTTTTCATTGTAAAATTTAAATAAGATTTTTTAAACACTATCTGACACTATAACACAATATATTAGATAAGTTAATATCGATGCCAAGACAGAAAAATAGCAACTTTTTGCATTGATTAAGTAAAACTAATTTAAAGCATTTGCTGTGGGTTTTTATGGGGATTTATTGCTGACTTAATATGGAAGAGTACCTCCATTTAAATTTGCCAATAATTAATCTACTTGAAAATAGTTCATAATTGGTTGCAATGAAACCTTTGTGTAAGTATCCAGAAATTCTTTTAAATGTGGTGGAAACTGATATTGCATAAACTTGATATAAGATAGGGATTATAATAAATCGAGCAAATTAAAGAACATAACAGCATTTCCAGTTAACAATGCCAAACTTGATACACTTACCATGGTATACATCATAACGTCATTAATTTCAACGATAGAAGTCAACTATTGTTTTGAACTTTCAGGTAAGACAAAAGGAGTTCCTAGAAGGATGGTCTTTTAATAATCTTATAAATCTTATTCAAATTAGTTCTGTATTATAGATCTTTCTATATCAACTTATAGAATAGGGTCTTTTATGGGTTCAAGAAATTCGATTGAGATTTAATATTTTGGACTGCTTAAATGAGTAGAGATGTTTTAAATGTGACTGATGGTTAATAAATATTGAGTTTAAGTAGCTATTGTGAAAAACACTAGTTCATCAAACTTTATTTCAGTCTATAATCTAACATCTTAAGTGAAAGTCAATTCTAATATCTACGTTGAATTCATTTTGTCTGATAAAATATTGATAACAAACTCTGGTGATCTAATAAATGTGCATTAACTTAATGATCCCTCTTAATTCACACATTTATAAGAATTTTCAATATTGCAAAATGAAGAGCATCCATCTCCTCCAATACGATTTCCGTCATCACATTCTTCATACTGATTAATCAGTATTCCATTTCCGCATTAATTCACACATATATTATCAACTAGTAATTGATTTTCTCCACATCTTAAAACTGTATATTGCTATTATTCTAAGATTGATGGATCAACATTAGTATCAGTTTAATCTTAGATCTTTTCCAAACATTTAGCTGTTTAGATGTCCAAAGTGTAGTATACATCATCACATTTCTTACATTAACTTTGTTAACAATCGACGCAGCCATTTGAGCATTAAAATTGACATAGATAGCACCCATCATCTGGTAAATTATTTCCATCGTCACATTCTTCTAAGCCTTCAATAATAATACCGTCTCCACAAACAGGAACGCAATGATTATTAATTAATTGAAAATACTCCTCACAATCCGAACAAATATTCTGTTATTCACATAGTTTACAATTTGGTGTACAATCAAAAGTGGATGAAATAGGATCGTCATTATTATATATACATTTACCAAATTCGCACAAACTGCAAGAAATTTCACATGAAAAGTTGCAACCATCACATCCATCATACGGTATTAAATTGCCATCATCACACAATTCTGACTCAACAATTAATTGATCTCCGCAGGTGGGTTTACATAAAAATTAATCTAAGAAATATCCATCTTAACAAATTTGACATATACCCTAATTACAAATCAAACAGCCACTTATACAGTTATAATTACAACCGTAGCAATTAGAATTGAGATCATTTATTGATGTATCACAAACCTCAGTTCCAATAGTTAATCCATCTCCACAAATTTCTTTACATTAATGATCTATTAAAAAATAGCCTATCGAACATTATTGACATTGACCAAACTTACATACAATACAATTTGGATGGCATTTAAATTAGCAATTTTAACACTATGCTAGATATGAGACCATCTGATCTTCACATTATTCATTTTCTACAATTAAATTATCCCCACAAATTTAAGCGCATTATCTAGTATAATAATCATATTTAAAGCCTATGGCACATTTAAGACAATCTCCATTTTAGCAATGCAGACAATATTATGAACATCCATATTGACAATTATTGCATAAATCAAAAGGGTTCGAATTTGAATCATCACATAGTTCTTGTCCCTAAGCAACAATTCCATCTCCACATACAAATTCGCAATTAGCACCTGTTAAATACCAGCCATTAATTTCATCACATTTTTCACAAATCCCTAAATTACATTTTAAACAATGATTGTAACATTATAATTAACAATTATGACACCCATCAAGGGCATTACTATTACCATCATCGCACTATTCATTTTTGACTATTGCCAAATCCCCACATATAGGTTTACATATATAGATTGATTCAACTAATTAATATTTATCCTTGCATTGATAACACTTACCAGAATGACAACGCTTGCATTCTTCTTAACACTTAAATTAACATTAATCACATCCATCAAATGGGTCATCGTTACCATCATCGCAATCTTCTTCTTCAACTACTATTTCATCTCCACATATTGGAAGACATGGTAGATTAATTCCATCATCGTAATACCCAGGCTAACATAAACATTAATTGTATTGAATGCTTCTGTGAAATTCCTTAATACATGAGACACAATCGTATTATGTAATACCAAAACAGTTTTCACAGTATCTATTGCATTATAAACACAATGTTCCTTATCTAAAACTGGATGGTTTACATTAACAAATTCCATTAATTACCTAAAATTAATCACTAATGCATTATTAACATTCATCTTCACTCAAACATGTTCTACAAATCTAATCACAATATTTGCAACTATAGGTTTCTGTTTATTGATCAAAATTCAAATATTAATTACTTTAACAATCAGAACTTAAACTAGTATGACTAGTCTCCCATACTAAACATACACCTGAACCATCACAAGATTAGCAAAAAGGAGGACACTAATTTATAACATAAAGATAAAATATTACATAATGGACAACAATAAAATAGTCTGATATAGCACAAAAACCTTCATTAATATTTGGAGTAGAGGTTTTACATAAAAGTTCTATGTATAAATTGTCAGAAATAAAATTGTCCAAACTAATTTTATTGGTGCTCTAAAAACTGATTTGATAAAATAGACTGCCTCCTCCTCCAGAATAAGGTCCTTGAAGTGCACTGCTAGTAGTACCTATCCGATAATAAAACTATCCAGTATATCTGTTCCCATAAATTACATTAAAATATATCGACACTCTATAATGAGGCTTTTGAATAGTCCATGTCTTGATGTATGATCCATCATTCCATACCAACAAACCTCCTAATACAATTTTATAGTTCAAAATTGAAAATTTTTAATTGGTTGCAAAATTACCTGTTGGATTTGTAACAGTATCATAAAAAGAGTCTATCTCATCGAGAGTCATATTTAAATTATAAAATCCTTTCGCCAAGTATCTGGAATCTAAGAAATGATATCAAATTAATTTTACATGGTATGCTATCCTCGTAATCAACACAATTAATTGAATGAATAGGACAATTCTAAACACATTAGTTTCTATATAATTAATAACCTGTTTCGCATTATGCACATTTAGAAAAGTCTTGACAAATCTTGCAATTCTATTAACAAAGTCCTATGTCAATCGTGACATTGTTAAACCCCCAAAACTCACTTGCTTGTTAAAGTTATCCTTAAATCTTGATTGTCGGATTAGAATTAAAGACTTTAAAAATCATCTCTATTCTTAGCAAAATAGAACTACCCCCGCAAATACTCTGTTTAAATATTTCATTTAAGTTTTCATACTATAAATCAGTTGTAGTTTTTATTATGCGAGATTATATTTGATTATCATTTAAGATTTCAATCTTACTTGAACCTTGCAAATTAGATAAATAAAAAGTAAGACGAATTCGTAGAAATTTAGCTGAATCTTATAACTTCATTTAGTAAAGCATCCCTTCATTAAATTACAATTCGCCAATAAAATCATATGCACGACAATCCTTATAAATTAAATCACTGTTCTTAGGATGAAATATGTCTGTTATGAAAATAAAAGGAGAATACCTATTATCATTTGATATAGGAATTGCTTAATTTTGAAAGAATGTAAATAATGATTTAATTCTGTAGTCTTACACACAAATTTTGTCATTACGAGCTATAGAATAATCTCTATTACATTCCTAACGACAACCTATAAAAGTTTCAGAAAATTATTATTCAGAAATGCATTAGCATTACCCACCTGATACAACCTATCCATCGAAACATGTTAAGCAATTTGTTTTTAAAGGACCGTTACATTTTAAGCATGTTGGATGACAAGGATTGACATAAATTAACACGTTTCTAATTCCAATTTCTGAAAATAATGAATAAGTTTTGAAACAAAAATTTATTAGAAATTAGTTTTCAGTGTTGAGATCATAAATTGTATTTGTTATTGTAAGTAATTGAAAATAAGTAAAGAAATTATTGCAAATGTTTTGACTATTTTGAGATAAATCGTTTTACAAATAATTTCTCCCATAAATTATTTAGCTATCACTTGGAGTTTAAGACTTAACCAGTAAATGGGAAGCTACGTTATCTATTTCAAAAAAAAAGACATCAAATACTACTTAAGCTGAAAAGCACTTATAATTAAATGTCTTTTCCATGTATTAGTTATATCTTATTAAAGAGGCATATGTTTGTGAATTTTGAGGACAACTTTTTCTATTAAATAAGATTGGCAAATAACTGGTACATGATCCAAACATCTTCCAGTTATTGTCATCAATAAAAGTATCTGTGAAACTATAATCTATTAATCTCCAGTTTGCAGTGACATGGAAACTAAGGATAAGAAATAAAATGAACTCCTTTGAAAAAAGGATCATATTTTTAATTTATATTATTTAAAAATAATTACTACCTCAATAAAGGAAACAACATTTTTCAATATTTAAATACATTTACATCATTATTGTGTATTTACAACAAAATAGTCAAGAAAGATTTGCAATTCATAATAATTTTTTTAATATTTTGGAGTAATATCCATGTAGATTGCATATCAAAAATCCAAATCTTATTGGTTTCCATATGGCGCATTTATATGTCTATTAAAATCAATTATCAATATTTCTTTTTGGATGTGATCACTATTAAAAAATAGGCATACTTTATAAATCTTATTCCACTTTAAGTGTTTTATTAATAAATAATTAAAAATTTTAAAATAAATTTATATGCTGAGGCAAACTCATTGTTAATAATCAAAATTGTAGATTAAATTTTATATCAAATTTTGTTTTTGTATAAATGAAGATTTTTTATGTTGTCCAAATTTATAATTGTAAAATGAAGGGAAATTTGGAAAAAATTTTAATTCTATCTTCTGTTAAATATTTTTAGGTTCGAATGCACAATTAAATAGTAATAAATGAAATCTAATCCATTTGTTTCATTAATCATTAATTTTACATGACATTTCTATTTAAAAGATCCTTCATTAATTAAACTAAGCATTAATGCATGAATGCTCCCTATTTTTAGCAATTTTAGAGAGTATAATTGTTTAATTAATTGTATCATTTATTAATAATCTTTATCGTAGTTTTGTGAGAAATAACCCAAAATATTATTCTATGTAATTTCAGAAATATTTAAATTGACACTCCAATAAATTATTTTGTCAAATTTTTCACAATCATCACTCCATAAAATGATAATTCAATATCTTAATTCTCAACTATCCTACCAAAATTTCTAAAAAGATCTATCATCAGGATCTTTCATTTGCTCCTCACAATTTATTATTACAACTATTATAAAAAGCCATTTAACCATTTCTAATTAAAAAAAATTTTCATTTAATTTCCATGCATCACATTAAGCTTATTTTCTTTTGATTATATTCCAGGAGTCAACTTTTAATTTAGTTTCCGCCTTGGAGTAATTAATATTGTTTGAGAAGCAATTTAGGCCATTACAATATATTTTATATAAAATATTACCATCCTTGATTTCATAATTTTTGGATTCAAAGTTTTATTTAATAAAAATAATAGAAGAAACAAGCCATAGAGAATATATGATGACATTTATTTCAATTCTCCCATTTAAATTGGTTATTGATGTTTCAAATATTACTATTATTAATTCTAAAATTTCATATTATATCCCAGCTACAAGCTAAGAGTATGGTTTTATTGTAATAACTATTAAATTAATTAATTGTAATTCCAAATATTGAGTTTGCTGTTTTTTGAAATACAATTTTAAATTATAATATGAAAGGTCATCTTGAGCCATTTATTGTTAGTACTAATGCAGATCTCATTAGAGTGAAAATACTTCGAAATATGGTCGGATTAAAGATGTTTGATAAAAACAAAAAATAGTCTTAATTTGAGGTTATGATTAACAATAGGTAGAAATAAATACACAAATGCTCATTATTATTTTAAAAGAATTAGAGTGATTAGATTGATAATTAGATGTAACAACACGAAATGATAAACTTATTTAACTTCTTTTATAACAATAATTATATTTTTAGAACAAATTATTCTATACAAAAAGAATCTATACATTAATTTCAAATAATAATACTTAATCGTAATAGTTTGCTTAACCTAATTAACAAATAATTATTCTTTTCATTTATATTTAAAACTCATTATTTAACAAAATATAAAACATGGTTCATAATTATATGTTTATGGAATTATTACCTCGATTTTACTTCTTTATTTTATTAACTATAAATGTGAAAAATAATCTCATAAATTCATTCTCTTCTTATTTTAAAAATAATGCATCATATCAAGTTTATAATCTATTCATTAATAATGTAAAATAAATAGGATTGTAATTAAATTTTAAAGGAATACCATCATCGTTTTATAAAATTTAATATTAAAATAAATAAAATCTAAATGCTATTACAACAATTAGGTTATTCTAATTGCAATGTTTGCTTTCAGAGGGTGCTAAATTCCGAATACCATTAAATTCTTAAGTGATTAATTATACTAAATTAACAAGAAATTAATGTTTAATTTATAAAATTAGAAATGCCAATTTTTTTTTGAGTAGAAGTAAGAATTTACCAATAATAGAGAGATAATTGTGTTGTAATCCTCTGTTTTGAGATTCCTTAAATATAAAAATTGAAAACTGCAAGAAGCTAATGTTGTACCTTTAGGTGAGAATTAGATTGATTTTACTTTATTCTCTTCCAATAATACACATTTGATTTTTCCTTTTTATACATCCCGATAACAAATAGAATTATCATCACTACTAGAAGCCAAAGAATATGTATCTCTCATCTTAGGCAGTTAGAAGAACTAAAAATTTAAAAAATTCTATGATTTTCTGACATATTTTTTTGATCAATTATTTTTTCATTTATTTGTATTTTCTAGAGAGTATTCTCATTATAAAAATCAAAACCTTTCATTTTGTTAAGCACATTAGTTATTTTTGTATGTTCATTTTTCCACATTTTTTCTCCATTTTTTTCGTTGTTGAATATTTTTCTTGTGTTAGAAATATTATTCGACTTCCATTTGATTTACTTATTCTGAAAGAAATTTTAGAGAGTCTTCAATATTTTCTTTTGTTAAAATTTCTAATATTACTTTCAAAATTTATTTTTCTAATTATTTTAATGAAGCAAAGAGCTTATCCAAGTCAGTTTTTGATTTATAAATTTGCAATTATTGCGGCTTTTTTGCGATTCCACAGTTTCCCATTATATGTAATAAATTAAATATGAATGACTATTTCTCGAATATATACTACAATTCATAAAGTATCTTGCTTATTTATGTTAGGAAGAAATGAAAACTTTAATTAAATTGAGAGTTGATGAAAATAATGATAGCGAAAATTTCTAAAAAACTAGTACAAATAATACAAAAAAAATAATTAGCAACATCACCAAGCAATAAGATTGATCAATTAAAATATCATACCATAGTTAGACTGCATTAATGAATCAAGCTGCATATAATAAATTTATTTCTTTCAAGATATGGAAGTTATATATTTATAATTAAAATTTAGCCATATATATATACCAATTATCAAAGTATATATTTTGAGAATCATAACCTAGACCCTACTTGATTTTCCCGATGTTTTTATCTACCAATTACATGGTAGTAACAAATTAGATATACTATAAAAATAGCGAGACTAATAAAATACCAAAAATGGATTCATATTCTAAACGACGAATTAATGAATAGAGTTATTATAAATACCTATAAATAGGATATTTCTCTTTTATTGTTCTTTATTTTTTTATTTGAAATTAATAATTTTTTTATTCTCTTATCCCATTTGAAATTGATATTTTTCATTTATGTTTTTATATTTGTCTTTTTTTTCTGGTTGATTTTTATCCCGAAAATATTTTTTCTCTTTAGAATGATATATTTCTAAATAATGAACCCTTGATCACAATTTTTATTAAATATATATTGTTATAAAATATTATATTTTATTTATTTTTTTTATGTTTTTGTTATAAATTTATATTTTATCTATATCAAATATATACTTTGCATATACATTTGATCAACACTGATAGGCAATTCTGCAATCTCTACTAATTATTTATTTATAGAATGAAAACAAGACAACTAACTTAGAATACAGTAATTTTATCATTTGTAATGATATTGTCCAATTCTTTTAGAGGTGTTTCCTATTTTTCACATAATGGAGCAAGCTTCTTAGTGAATATCAATCTTCCTTCCATTTTCATCAATTTCGACATTTTAATATTTTTGCTCAAATGATAGTGATAATATTCTAATATAGTGTTGTTTTATTGTCTTACCATTTAAACCTTTATCCCATCCTAATTCCCTAAAAATACTGATTTTTTTATTGATTGTTAAAGGGTTTTGAAATCTAGCATTAATAGCAATACTGCTAGGGTGTATTTTAAAATAATCCCAGCAATCCTAAACATTTTTACTGACACCTTTCTCATAATGAACTTAACCAATTCAACATATTAGACTACCAAAACAGTAGAACATGCAAATATAAAAATCAATTGTTTACTTTAATCTACGAGCCTCAAATTTGAATGAATCTATGTCCTTATTTTAGCAAAGGAATACAATAAGTTCTATTAGTATCTTTTTTTTAAGATATAAGGTAAGAAGGACAAATTATTTGATCTTTAGAACGTGAGTTTTCAGTATTCATTAAGTTCAACAAATTTATCATGCTATAAAACTGCTGATAAAAATGATAGTTGAAAATTCTTTTCATCGTTGCAAATGTTAATAGTGAATGTATAAAACTGCATTAGAACAAGATAGTTCATTAGAATTAATGCGGGTCTAAATAATATGCTATGTACTATGATAACTACTAATTAGAGTAGAACACTTGAAAAAATTTTAACAGCATAAGCAATAGTATTTAAAAGACAAATACAAATAGAATCTTAATTTGTGCATTAAATATCAGTGTTTAAACTGAGGTGGACACTACCAAAATTGGTGCATTCATCAAATCCAATAATACTGAAGCATGCGTTGAAACAAGTAAATAACTTTTGATAAATAGCCTTAGCAAGCGCTCAAAGGTGTACTGGTTTACTGAGTAAATTAAATAAGGAGTATTAAAGGGATGATATAGGTAAACTGGAATGAAAAGAAATAAATAATGCTAGAATCTGTTGAAGAGGAAAATGATGTGCAATGTAAATAAAATCCTTTAAAAATTACAACATTTGTTCTATCCAAATTATCAGTAAAAGCAATGAGCATAAGTTGATGAATTGTGTCTCAACACGTAATATATAACTTTTGTAGTAGTATTTACATAGCCAAGGCTTTTGAAATCATAAATAATATTGGCATGCTATTAGGTCGGTGTAAATATTGAAACCAATTTGTACTTTGAAGTGTGAAGCAGACACTAAATCTGATTAAAATTCTTTTGCGCTATTTGAATATAACCATTTGAGAATAGCTTCATGATTTCAGTTAGGTATGCCTTATAAACTTAAATGATCTAAAAATTTTGCCCTAGTAATTCCTATGATGAATTAAACAAAAATAATATCAATTTATGTTTTAAGCAATTTTACGCCACTGATATTATATTCTAGAGTGGTTTACAAGAGTAAGAAAGGAACAATATTACCACCGTATTGCATAATGAGCAATATGAATTCAAGTTGATGAATTACAATTTCATCTTATTTGATCTGCATAGTTAGCAAGATTTTGAAATTACCAGATACTCATTCTCATAGTGTCCATTTGGTGCGTCTAATATAACAGCTTGGTAGTAGTAGAAATTAACATACACCAGAATACACCAATACAATTTAATTCGTAGGTATCCAAAAACATGATTATATAAATAAGAATATTGGTAAATTTAGTGAATGCTAAACTATTAGTCAAAAATTTATTTTAATCCAGCAAGAACAAAGTTAAACGTTGTAAACATTATTAAAAGTAATACAAAGTTTTTATTTACGACATAAAGTAAGCTACCCTTCCCCATTCATTTATTAAATTTGATGCAAGAATGATCTCAATAGCCTTCAAAACCGTGTACAAGCATTACTAATATTTGAATTATCATCACTGCCAAGTACCCACTTTAGGCTATCAGTTCAGTTCAGAAAATTGTCAAAAACATTCTGAATGCTATAATAAATTTTCGAGATCGCCAGAGTTTCCTTCACAAAATGTTTATGAAAGAGTTGATAAAAAGTGCCTGGAATGCTTAAAATATGGGAGCATTAATAAATACAGCGATATTCATTTATCATATGTAATGCATCAATAACAATAATTGGATGGATTGCAAGTAGATGAACACTCAATTCTAGTTCACATTTGAGTACATAATATTTGTTAATAGCGTTTCTCGTAGTCATTCAAGGACAGCTTAAGTATTATATACGATAGGTGGGAACAATCATACAATCCTCCATTTATCTCAGAATTACAGTTAAATTGTACTGAGTATATTTGCAGATATATATAATGTGCAAGACCATAGTACTTCTTGATCTAGTGGTACATCTAGAGCGATGTTACCAAATTTTAAATTAATATTTAAGCACTGCCAGGGAATTTTGAACCTGGTTTAAGAATTAAGTAATTCTCATCTGTTGAATCATACTTACTTATATAGATGTTAGTTATTATCAACATCCAGTAAAAAAGTAAAAATCATCATCTCCAATATAAAAAGAATGTAAAAATGTTTCACAAAGGTTTAAAGATAACAAATCAAGCAAGGATATGGATACTATAGATCTGTTATTCAATATTAGCTATTCAAGTTTGAGAAAATTTGAGTGATGGCCAGAATTAAGACACCAACTCAAGGAGGGGGCAAAAATGCTTAAAAAAACTAATCTTTGTAATTATCAATACACTGAATGCTGAAGAACAATATTCAGCTAGACTTAATGTAACAATTTGTTATTTTTAGCAAGTATTCCTTTCATCATCATAGTAATTAAAAATATTCTTATATTTGGCAGGATCTCATAGAAATAGAAAATAGCGTAAACATAGGATTCAAATTTTAATTCTCAATATGCCACAATAGAACTACAATTAGCAGCCAAGTTGAGGTAAACAGATGTTAGAAATTAAGTACTCAAAGGATTATAACAACTTGTAAAATTAGTCTTTTGGAATAGAAAGCACATTATTATGAGATAAGCAAATGTAAAGCAAGATGTTCATTTTAACATATATTAGCATAGCAAGGGGATGAACAATAAAGAAACACCACTTGATTCGCTACAAATCTAATTAAATTAGCAGAAACATATGAGAAACCGATGCCTTAACATGCCTTATGAACATGTTGAAAACACGAAGAACATATTGACTAAGTTTTAGAGAGGCTCAAAAAAAATTGTTCCCTTTGAATATCTGATAAAGAGGCAACACTATTGAAGCAATTATTATTATATAGCTTATCACACTTTTTAATTATGTAGACGTAATCCAGGCATAAATTTTACAATTCGATCAACACTGCAATCCAAGTTAGTACTTGAAACTTTAATGCACATTATCTGAAATTGTAATGGTTAAGAAATTACAGCTAAACAATCTTCAAAGTCAGAATAAGGTGAAGCAGTACATTGATACTAGCTAAGTTAATTACAATTATAACAATAGGTAGGAAAACAGTATGGGCATTTACTGCAAGATAAAATACACTCATCATATTCGTTCTCACAAGGTTTAGTAACCTTTTGCAACCAATCACATTAAAGGAGGTATTTTTACCTGGAAGGTGCAAGATTGAAAGGAATGGAAATTTAATTTGGGACCTCAAATAAAAACAAAGTATTTTACACTCCCAACAGAAACCAAAATTAATGGTTCACTCCTAGAAAAGAATTACATTTTTTAAGGTACAAACATTAGTCGAAAATAATTATATATGTACTGCCATTTTTAAAGAAGAATCATAATTAGGAAATTCATCTTGAAGATTTGCCAACTGAATTTACAATATCTATTATAAGATGAGTATGATAAGTAACGATATTCTGATATTCAAGTTAAATAGCGGATTCATGATCTGCCATATTTAAATGTTTCCTATAAAATCTACTAGCGCATTAGATCTATTCTTAGATTTAGAGCATTTATTGCATATGCCTAATCTTAAACCCCACTGGTCATAAATATTATATTTATCAATCTAACTTCCTGTATTATTAAGACACAGAACAAAGGTTGGAGCAGGCAGTATTTAATTCAATGCTATCCAAAATATACTTCCCTATGATGTTCACCTATAATTTATAGTGATAAACAATACAAAAAGTAGTGCACTACTACTGGCAGTCCTATGCATAAGTGTTAAGTATGAAGCAGATTTGAGAGCAGTTATTCATTTTAAATAATTTTGTTATGGTTAGCCTTAAGCAACCAGTTTCAGAGAGAAATACCCAATGATATATATATTACAACCACTGAATCAATCTTGCTTATAATAAAACGGTTTTAGCCTGAGTATTATTTTATGCACAAAGTAAAAGATAGGGATAAAGAGATCATGTAAGATATCATCTATTAATCAAATTATTATAACAACCTATAGTAATACTTTTCCGGCTGTCGATATGCACTTTCAAGCAATCCTTTATTAATGTCTGAAGTATTTGATATTACCTCTGATATTAAATTATGGCATTATATATTAATAAAAAAATAAAAAAATTCAATTTGGTTTCAATTACTTTTTATAAATGTTGTAATAAAGAAGAATTGAGATTAAATTTAGATGTGTTATAGTTTAATATAATGTAATTTAAGCTATCATATGGGAATTTATTACAATCATACTCCAATTACCTTGCAATATCAATTTTTGGGTTCCAATTTTTTAATTGTCCAGATATTGATGAACAATCTATAAGTTGCAAATCAACTTATGAAGAATGAGATGGTCCAACAAAAGGTTAATTGCCTATCATATATTGAAGATTCAAATAATTATGAAGTTTTAAACTATAAATTAAATTAAATCAAGAAAAATCATCGAAAGAATAATTATCATGTGGTATTTTTGAGTTTAAAGATAATTGATTAAAATAGTATTATTTTCATAATTATATAGCCCATCAATAACATTAAATATGTCATAACATGTTTGGAATGTATGTAGAATCTTAAAATATGGATTTAAAGTCTTATTTGCTAAACACCATTATCTTCAAATAAAGAAGGAAATATATTTAAATTTTAAAAAAAAGTGAGTTGCATGTAAAACTATTGCTAATATATATTCAATTATTTGCAAATGCTCCAACAAGAACTATACTAGATTTTTCAAATGATTATTCGTTTATTGATGAAGAAATTTAAGATAAGTATTACTCCTTGATTTATCAAGAAATTTATAGAAGGTTTTGCTAAATGTGTTGAAGAATACATCTATGATTTCACAATTAGAAAGTGTATTATTAAGATGCCATCCTATTAAAATTGCCTCCGATCATACATTAATTTGGAATAGTAAGTAATTTGCACTCTTTCTGCAATTGACGATTTTAAATTGCACTGAAAATCACAAATTGTGATCTCAAATTCTTAAATGTAGACAATTTATCAAACAAAATAGTCTACTCTTTAATGCTTATTTTGTGAAGTTTACTATATGTTCTCTATATAATCTTCAGCACTAATTCAAGGTTTTATCATTTTTATCAGCATTTTATTGAGTTACCCATTTATTATTAATATTCTAAAAGTCTATTATAAAAAATACAGGTTGCTAGTTTATCTTCATAATTTAAGTTTTTACAACTTTCAATCTTAATTTAAAATTCTCTTAAGGGAAAAATTTTTAAATTTAAGTATAGGATTTTGTTAATATGGAAGGAAGATAGGACTCAAAAGAATATCTAAAAGTTAATTCAATAACGCTTAAGAAAAAGTAGGATGGGAATAATTAACTTTGCAAAAATAATTTATCAAAAAAAAAATATATATCATTAATCTCCAATCTAATAAANTATTATTCGTAATGCTATAATAAATTATAAAATGTTAATCTAAAAATGATAGAAATAATTAACTGTTTCAGAATTATAAACTATTCTTTCAAGAACTAAAATCGTAAAAAGAAAACTATTCACCTATTAATATTATATTCTAAATATTTAATATATCAAAAAGATCATCAAATTTAATAGGTAAATGGAAGAAGAACTTATTTTTAAATATCGGTTCATCAAAAGGTCAGAGCTTTTAAATTAAATATTGAACATTAATTATTTTCCTACTCCAATCCATATGACATAATTCCAGTATTACAATATAAGAAATTAAAATTAAAGTCAAGATAGCAGAATAAGTGCAGACGTTAATTGAAATATTGAAATAATATATAGCATTAATATAATTCATCAATCTTAAATGATAATCTATATTTAGAATATTCAAAACTCAAATCCATTTTTTCTTTCTTAGTTAAATATTCGCCGTAGGGGATTTTTGCCTTCGCGTCTCACAAGATAGATAAACCATTTACGATGTTCATAAAAACCAACCCCAAATGATTTTTAATTCTTTTATAGTCTGGTTTACCTTCCTCTAGCTTCCAATAATAAGACTTAAATATCTTTTATGAAGAGTATTTTTAATTCATGCATTTAGTTAATTCTGATGAAATGAATTTTTAGATCGATGATTACAGATACTCTTAATATCTTCTACCATTCCCTTCTTGACTTTGTTTCTCAAATTTCTAATTTTTAATCAACAATGCCAAGTATTCTTTCCTAGAGTTTCATTTGCCAATTGATATCTCACTCCATGCTTTATTACTTTCCTATAAGTTGAATATTTTAAAATAGGGCTGATGTTTCCTCCTATCTTAATGAAAGCATTGATATTTAACAAAATTATTAATTCTTATATCTTTTTTTTTATTACCTTTAAAATCTGAAATTAACTTTTTCAAAGAAATATTAGAATTTGCTTTCTATTAATTCCTATAACTTTATTAGTTCTAAAATTTTTACTTTCAAGTATTTTTGAGGTTTACTCCAAATTTTGCTTAAACAATAAATAATCAGTGATTAATAATTTTCCCTTAGCAATTAAAGGAGAAGAAATTTTCATACTGCTTGAGTTGCAAATTATAATCATTTATTAAAGTAGTCATGATTTAAGGATTCGGTGCCTTCGCCTAATATTATTATTAATGATTTTTCTTAATTACTAAATAATGGAGCTGACTTATTAACATTTGTTCTAATTATTATCTATATACATAAGTAATAATAATTATTACTGTTCTGAAACGATCAGAGGAAACGAAACTCACTTTTAGACGGGTATAATTACCAATTGTTAAAATTATTTCATATAAAAAATAAATATACACAAGGCTTTTACTGAGTAGTATGAAAGTTTTTAGGCCCATATTTAATTAATGCAAATTGATTCTAACCTGAACTTAATTTTCTGAAAATTTTCATTTTATTAATCTTTATAAAAAGATTGAATACATCAATTTTAGATTTGATCATTTTCATTTTACCTTTTTTAAACTTCCATTACTTTAAAATTTAGAGTTTATAAACTAGCAATATAATTAGGTATATGGTTTTAAAGGAATATGAAAAAATTAGATAAATATTTTTTAATATTTTATGAAGTTACAAATAAGATAGAAGAACATATTATTTTACTAAATTAATTGATTAGAATACAACATTAAGAGTATTATAGTATAATTAAATAAAACTAGTTGGAGTTACAATTTAAGTTAAGGTAAACTTTGTATTAACTTTCGGCTTAATGTGATTCAGCATCTCTCCAAACAATCTTTATTCTTTTATTATATATATCTGAAGTATTATAACTAGTATAATAAAAAGGATTGCTTAAATTAACTAAAAGTGGTAATAATCCAACAATATCCGTTTCAACAAAAATTCGAAAAAAAATAGCATAACAATAGAAATATATGACATTCAATTATATTAATGGTCTCATAATTATGAAAGTTAGCTCTATATATAATTCTTTTCGCGTGACCCTTTTTCCAATGCAGCCAAATAGAATTACTTAGCCTCTGATTTCTTCCCAAATTTAAATAATGAATCAGCTAAAAATTTAAAACACATCGATATACCTTTATTTTTTAATCGAGAAGAAGTAATTTATAGATTAAGAGCTTGATCGAAACATAATATTGCATCATTATATTTCTATAAGTTGTGTAGAGCCAATCCTGAATAATAAATTAATTTACCCTTGTTATTCCATGCTTTACCATATTTTGAATTAATATCAATAGCTTTGTCGTAACATTCTATCGCTTCTTAATATTTATTCAATTTTTTTAATGACAATCCTAAATAATGATTTTTAATGATTAACTACCCTTGTTATTCCATGCACAATCAAAATTTGGATTAATAGCAATAGCTTTGTCGTAACATACTATTGCTTCTTAATATCTATTCATATTGTCTAATGCCGATCCTAAATAATGATTTTAATGATTAACTACCCTTATTATTCCATGCTTTATCATATTTTAGATTAATAGCAATAGCTTTATCGTAACATTCAATAGCTTCTTAATATTTATTCATATTGTCTAATGACAATCCTAAATAATGATTTTAATGATTAACTACCCTTATTATTCCATGCTTTATCATATTTTGGATTAATAGCAATAGCTTTATCGTAACATTCAATAGCTTCTTAACATTTATTCAATTTTTTTAATGACAATCCTAAATAATGATTTTTAATGATTAACTACCCTTGTTATTCCATGCACCATCAAAATTTGGATTAATAGCAATAGCTTTGTCGTAACATTCTATTGCTTCTTAATATCTATTCATATTGTCTAATGACAATCCTGTTTTCAATAACATTCATATACCTTTATTATAAAATCCTTCAGATTCTATTATGTTCTATTTTTTTTAATCTATTATATCATCCTGTATTTCTTCGATTTTTATGATATTTTTCTATTCCCAACTCGAACTTTTTTAATCGCTTCTTTTCGTTAAATCTGTGACCCTATTCTGAACTGTTCCAAGAATATCATTCAATTATATTATTTGTTTTTCTATTTTAAATACTCTATTGGATACATATTTAATTTTCTTTTTCCTTATAGAACAACCTTTTGATTATGTTGATTTATGACTTAAATTCCAAATATTCTTTGTTTTTAAGTTGAAGTGACATCTTTACTAATTATTTAACATCCTATTCCATTATCTTTAAAATATATTCTAAACAATGTTAAACTTATTTTGAGATTTCTTTTAATTATTTAGTTGATTGATTGTAAACTTGTATGAATTCATTAATATATTAATTCATTTTAGAGAATCGAACACAATCATTCTAATGATCCGAATGAGTCGTTGTTAAGCACACATTACAATATTATGTTGCATTTTAACAATTCTAATTCAAACAAAATCCAATTATATCCTCATTTTCATGAGTAATGTATTTGCATTTGACGATATCCATTTATCTAAAATAATTAAAATAATAATGATAATCTAATAAATATCTTAAACTTATATATCATATCATATATTTCTAATAGAAATCCCAATCATTCTCTAGCCTATTAATTCAGCAAAAATATTACATAAGTCTACTATTATAAACGAAATTATTCAATAATGCTATTTTATTCTACAATCAACACTAATCAATTTATTTTTTATATTATCCATTTACTTAATTACTTTATCTTTCTCTACAATTAATTTATCTAATCAGGAACATTAAGCTGTAAATTTACTCTTATGATTTAACTTATTCTTCTATATATCCATTATTTGTCCTATTCGAAAATCAAAAAAGAGTGTATTTAAGTTTGATCTATAAATCTAATAACAAAAAGTATTCAAAATTACTGCAAAGTTTCATACTCATATCATTCAAAGTTTCAACAATTTAAAAATTTTGAGTATGTAAAATTCGTAATTCTCACTTTGAATAAATAAATCCTCAAATCTCACTACAACATCTATCAAGTGTGATAAGAGATAAGGGTATAATGATACTGCGTAGCTTCTTTACCTTTTCTATAATTTGTAAATCTTAGATATTGCCAAACATAGAGGAAAATTTCATTTGAACTTCTGGGTTGGGGTTCGTAAATCCCCAATAAACTAGATAGATATCACTTCTCTATTTTATATCTCTCGTTTATACTAATTAAGGTTGGGATTGAGGCAAAATGTGCACAAAGTTGCGTCGGGTGAAAACCCGATTTTCGCGACAAAGTTCGTTAGTCTTAATCGAATCATTGAGAAAAGATAATGATAAAGTAGTTTATATGAAAAAACCAAAATTATAGTTCAAAGGAAAAATTGGCTTCGCTTGAAGTGAAATCTAAAAATTAATAAAAGGTAGAATTTTAAAGGACAAAATTAGATTAATAAAAATTAATTGGAAAATGCTGAAAAAAATTTGCTTGAAATGAAAAAAATTGACATAGACTTAATTATATCAAAGGATAAGAACTACATAAATAATATAATATTTTATCAAATATTATTTATCATTTTAGGTAAGGCTTAATTAAGTTAACGTTTTTAATATTGTAATGAAAAATTAAAATTATTAAGAGAATGCTATGTGGGTTTAATTATTGTTATAAATTTCATTATTATTAATCTTGTCCTAAGATAAAAAATAAGACTACAAACACAAGCATTAGAGGTCATAATATTACAACCATTAGGGGTTTATTTTTATATGAAATTAATCTTAATTAATTTTCTACACTTGTTTATTAAATTATAATAATAATGTTTAACATAATAGAGCATTAATATGAAGTGTTTTATTTGATTCAATTATGATGATATATAGCTGCTTTATTATTTCTTCATGGTACATAATTAAATATTCAAGTTAAGTAACTTTATTGATTTTATTTGTTATGCGCATACAAATTAACCTATGTATACTTACTATGATCTGATGAGATATCAATATAAAGTATTTGTAAGTTTAAACCTTAACATTCTCTCATTTAATCAAATTATATTAGCAGAAGATCCAGATGATGTCTCTTTTTTCATGTTTTAGGTAAAAATTGATCAAATGTTGAATAAATATTCAATTAAGTTAACTCTATAATAGCCTCGTCAATAAGATTGTATTATTAAAAATATAAATAACTAGAGTATGACTAAGTACGGCTAGTACATGATTTTAAACTATTCTCATTATTTTAATTTTAAATTAGGAATTATGAAATAATTATTTTCAACTCCAAAATTTAGTATTGGATTGTCCTTGATTATAAAGCACCAACTTTGAACTCCTTTCCATCAATTCAAATTGTGGAAAAGATTTCTAATAGACTGCATATTTTATCGCCTTTTAAATCACTCCTAAAAATAATAGCTTATTACGCTAGTCTTAAAACTAAGAATATTATAAAGATGCTTTCTTCTCATATAGGAATTGGAAAAATAAAGAGAATTAATCAAATAAATATCAAGATTGAGGGTTAGAATATTTAATATTATTTCAATGCACCTTCTATCTTTACATATGATGATATTTCACTCGGTTTTTTAAACTTTTTAGCATACATCTGAATATTTGAGAGATATATTACCTATGTATTTTTTAATCCAATACTCATTTGGACGTAAATTTTAAGCCATCTCAAAAAATATTTAGGCTCCTTCGTATTAATTCTGATCCTTTAAAAACCAACCTATCAATAAGAAAAGTCGAACCTTTTGCTAATAATGAGTCAATATGATTTGGATTGATTATTCAATTACTTTCTTAGCTTCCTCAAGCATTTTAAATTATCTTAAACTTATCGATTTAAGTTTTCTCTTATTGAGTTACCTTAGAATTAAAAATAATTAGTACCTTTTGTGGATTATAAATAACAATGATTTGGATTTATTTCTAACCCTTCATCCACTAAAATGATTGCATCACTAAATTAATCAAGCAACCCTACACTATGAGCTAATATTAATATAATAGTCATACCTTTGCAATGTAATGAAAGATAATGATTTGGATCTAGTTGCAAAACCTAAACCGCCAAATAATTGCTTCATTATATTACTCAAGTAACCTTAAACTGTCAGCCAAATAAAAATTATAATCATATCTTTACACCATAATGAATCGCAATGTTTTGGATTTATTTGGAATGCTATATCTGACAAATGATTGCTTCATTATATTACTCAAGTATCTAAATTATATATTTTATAAACATCTGATTCAGTTAGATCAAACTATTTATAAGGTGAATTTACGATTCTTATAATTAAAAAATTGAATCAATGAATGAAGAAGAGTGTAATAATAATTTTGGGATTAAGCCAGATACCAAACCCATCAGTCAGGAGGAAAAATGACAAATAATTAATTGTATATTGCTGATAGTAAGGAGAAGAATAGGTTAATTATTAACTTGTAGAATCTGTAGAAATAGATTTTTTGAGCCATTTCAATTGCTATTAAATAGTATTGAATAGAAAACAAGCAAGCATTCATGATTGATTAAAAGGACTACAAATCATTTCAAATTAAGTATAATTCTATCAGGGAGAGCCTTCAATTTAAAAACAAATATTCTTCTATTTATTTGAAAAGACTTTATCTCAATTATCAATGAATTTATTTATTTTCAAATAAATCCCTTTCAAATCTATTTCAGGATGTTCTACTTATTTGACACTACCAAACAAGAAGAGGATTAGGTAAAAAATCAAATTGCGGAAGTGTTTCTAAGCTGCATACAGAACCAAGACCAGTAGTTAGAAAGAAGAATGCATTTTGAATGGCTATGAGTTGATAAAATATGTGCAAACCTTTTTTTTTACTCCAAAGCGAACATAAGTTGATAATCTTATTTTTAAATGTATTATAACAGAAAGTGTATTGAGATTCTAGCCTCTTACAATATAAGATAACTACTGCAATTGTGAAATTGAGTAAACTAGATCTATTAAAATTTCAATAATACTATTTTGGTAGTTTGGAGTTGCAACATGCAGGATAATCTAATGATTACTTTTGAAAACTAAATCTTACTTCTTTCCTTGCTCACATTCATGTACTGCAATTATCAAAATTCCTGGTCTTTTTGAATTTGAAAAAAATTCTCAATTTTCATGTATTTGCTTTGATGGATCAAATAATTTTAGCATTGTACATCAAAGTTATATATATCGTCTTAATTTAAATATAAAGTGAGTGTTTTCCTATTCTGTAGATAATAACTAAAATCAATGTTTTTAGAAAACAGGTTTAAATAATGAAAATATCAAATGCATAGACGTTTAATTCTCATGTGAAAATTGTGTATAATACAATAAAAACAATTTATACATGTCTTAGTATAATTAAGCTAATAGCCTGATATCTGTGCATACTAGGCAAAATTTGCACAAAATAAATTTAATTTTGAGTTTCTTGCCAAACTTGTTGAACTTTTAAGGGTAATTCATGATGTAGAAGAATTCTAATTTGGAAACTTTATTCATTATTTTTCGAAACACTCTGTATTAAAACTAACTAAGTTCTTTCTAAAAACCTCTCTTCAATAATTTTCAATCTTTCTTGCTCTAATAAATATTATAATAAAATACTAATAATATTTCCTTTAGGATTGACTCTAAAATAATAGAGTATTGTTAAACCTAACTTTATTAATAACCTTACTTGAGTTCTGTTTAAATTTATTGCTATGTGGCCATTGGGCTATTAATCATCTAAATTACATTAAATTAAACCTTCAAGATTTAAGTGTAACAATTTCACTAGCAGAATATATCTCTGCTTTAGTGCTAATGTAAGGAATTCTTCCAAGAATTATCCAAAATTTTATTGAATAGTAACTATTCGCATAACTCCTTGACTACATAAGTTTGTTTAATCCAAAATTAGCAAAGTCCAGATGAAAATTCTATCATTATAATCATATGATATAATTGCTGTTGAATGTCTGGATCATTTAATAGTGCACTAAGCCTACTGCTGCTGCATAGGATATCATAATTATTTTGGAGTGCTGCACAACAATTAAAAATACTGCAATTTAAAAATTATTTTTATAACATAATTTCACAGCTGATATTGTATTACCCGAATTAATCACTAAGCTATTTTTTATGTCAAAAGAATTATTTAAATTTAATGAAATTGAATGGTAGATTTTAAACTTGTTTAATAACTATAAAATATTTATTCACTAATTTATATAAAATAAAATCAAGTGAGTTTGTCAGAAGATATCCAGTCCTCTATAATGTTAGATATATATATTTATTAGAAAAGCAGCATTGAAATATTATAATTTCATGTAATATTTTCCATTAAGTTTTACTTTAGAAATTTTATTTAATATTTTTTATCTTTGGATGTTTTCTGCCTTTCATATTCACATAGGAGGAGCTGGCGTAATGATTGGTGATATGTTGTGGAAACTGTATGAAGCAGAGCACAATGAAACAACTCAGAAGAATTAGATTTATTAATAAGTTGATGGGAATTATCATCCATATGCACTTTTCGCTGATTTAGATGACAGAATGATTCATGAAGTTTAAAGGAATACATAAGTACAATTTAAGAAGAACTCTTTTTATCAGCAAAAAATGAAGAAGGTGGATTAACTTATGTTCGAGCTAAATATGGTCCTGGAAAATTGATTCGTAATTAAGCATTAGTTTCTATTCGAAATATGTAGAAACGATGGATCGGTTAGATGAATTTGTTATAACAAGTTCAACAAGTGGAGGAACTGGGTCAGGACTTTTTGATTCATTATCGCATATGTTAATAGAAACCGATTTTCAAAAAGTAAGATAAAATGGATTTATAATTTTCCCAACTTCTGATATGTCAAATAATATTGTTGGATTATATGACGCTGTGCTATCGAGTATTCTTATGAATAAAAATTTTGATAGCATCACAGTGTTTGACAGTAAGTCTATGTACGATGTTATTGATCATCAATTAGATTTAGATTTTGTTGTTTATAAGCATTTAAATAATTTGGTTGCTCAAGTAATTAGCTCATACACTGGATTAAAAAGAATAAACTCTTGTGATAACTTTAAGTTGTTTTAAAATATTTGTCCTTATCCTATAATACATTATTTAATTTCATCATATGGTAAACTCACTTCAATAAATGATTACACGAGAAAAGAATTCGAATACGGATAATTCATTAAATATCTCTCAAAAAAAAGTAAAGACTTTATCAATGTCCTTAAAATCCTAGATATCTTTTTACTACCTTATTACTGAGATAAAAAAATTGAACAGTTTCAATGGTAAATTTGATTTAACACTAAAAAATCTACATCATGAATTAGGTTAAAGTCCAAATATTTTTAATGTACATCCTCAAATTACTAAATATTACCTGAACTTGCATAAATGAAGCAAACTGGAACCTTCTTTTCTAATGATGCTATGAGTTTTAAAGTAATTGCAAAAAGAGCTTTTCAACAATATTATAATGGTGAAGGATTAGAAGGCAGTTAGTTTTGGAATTCAAGAGAAGAATTAGAAAGGACAATGTAAGATTATCTAGGGTTTTTTGATTCAGAAAATGAGGCTTACGATGATGAATATTGAGATACGTTATTATTGTTAAGTATTGAAATAAAGTTGAAAAAAATAATATCTAATTATATAATTTATTTTAATTGAATTTATTTTTTATTAAAAAACAATAATTCATAAAATATATATTGCTCAAGTGAAGAAGAGAAGTAAAGAAAATTCAACTGAGAGTTTTTAAATAAGATAAGTGTTTCAAACATTAGAGGGATGGAAGCAACTAGGGAAGAGATAGAATGTAACAATACAACCAATACAGGTGGAACAAATAATGTCGCATTAGGAATCAGTACAGAGCTAAGATATGCTAAGGAAATAGATAAACCTTTAAGTGGATAATAGGTATCTACTACCATTTAACTTTTAAGAGCGGACATTAAGAAACAGCTTGATGAAAAAATGTGGATTAAATAAGAGTTGAGCTCAGAGAAAGTATTGAGGATGAAGGATCCGTTCGTTCTTCCTAGACAAGAATTTCAGGAAGGGTTGTAAAGATTTGTGGAAAAGTTTGGATGTAATCCCTTTTTGAGGTGTTTCTTAAAATACACCATAGAGTACGTGAGATGGAACATTGATGAATCTAATGTAGCTGAGTATCTGCTGCAAGGAGTGACACCATTCAATGAGATAATAAACCAAAGTGATAGATAAAATAATTTAAATAAGGAGAAGGTATAATGTCGAAAATAATTAGGATAATTAAGGGCATGAGAAGTGATGTTTAACTCCTCTGACTCTGATATATACATAATTGGATACTAACCGAACATGTTGGTCTACATCATCATTGAGAACTTAGAATTGTTTGCAATTTTCCACAAGTTTTGAAGTGTGGCAAGTATTTAACTTGTGGCAGATTTTGGGGATTAAACTCATTTTCCCTTATGAGTTCTTTAGTGGAGTAAGAAGGAATTCTTGGTGAACTTTGTTTTTAAAGAAAACATACTTCATTTAGAGCTATGGATGTGAAGCTTTTCTTAAAGCCATTAGTGTTCTACATCTGTGAAATAGCCTTAGTATTTATATTCTCAATGAAGGATATAAAGAATATCGGATAAATTGTAGGGTGTTTGAAATAGCCATGATAATTGATAGCCTTCCATTCTTTAAACCAATATGTTATCATTGAGTTCAATAATAATTTAGTCCAGTTTTTAGGTACACTTTAGGTGAAAGCTGTTTGAGCAGGCTTAATGTTCTGGGTGTAAATTCTCTATTATTGGAACCAAAAAGGCCTATATTATCGTTAAAAATGGACTCAGAAGCATTTTTGGCCGAAATTTTCCCTAATCGCGATGTAAGGCTCATATTATTCAGGGAACGAGACTAGGCTAATACGGAAACAAATTAATTGAAATTAGAACATCTTATTAAATCGATGATCTAAGCAAATGATGTTGTCTCTTAGTTCACATAGATCATTTCACACTGCCATCTTATTGGTAGCAAAGTTCCTCTATTACATCTTACTGAATTAGATAAATGAGAATATAATTGCATTAAATTACAGTAAACTTAAGGTTAAAGGAAATAACTTATAGATTTCTCATTCCAAACTTATCTTTTATTGGAAATGAATTAATTAATTAATAATAGAAATAAGAAAAATTATGAATATCAGTAGGGGTAAAAATAATTAATGAGGAAATATTAATACAAACATGGATATAAATTTAACTATTTAGATAGTAAACCTCTACTTAATTATGTCAGATATTTTGAGGTTAAAATTCTTTATTGAATCAGCCAGCAACATTTCTAAATAATTCAATTTATTATGGTGCTTTGACATCTTATATCAAAAGATCAGGATAGTCCAAATGACTTCAAAGTTTTATCGAGAGAATTTGTTAAATACTAATAAATCTTAAATTATATTATTGTTCAAATCCTGTATTAATTGAGACAATAAGAATTGCAGCAATAGAGAGATTTTATTGGTTTTGAGATATTAAGCATGAGTATTGACATGTTAAGAGGATTAATGAGCAGCAGTTAAAGTACATATTAAACAAGCAACTTTAAATTCTATTATGAATCAACTTTCTAGAAAGACAAAATAAAAGAAAGAATAGCTGAAAAGGGACGAAATAGTTAAATTTTAAGTAATCTAGTTTTAGGGAATCTCTGATATACATGAATAATAAGAGAGAGGCAGTATCTTAATTTGTTGATGTTTGAGGTGATTCAAGGCGATTGCTTCAATAAGCTAATAATAAATATTATTCTATATTTTAGGCGTATAAGACTTTAATCATATTGAGAATAACTTTACAACAACAACAAATATGATAAGGACTTGTATATTTAAACTAATATTCAGCTGTTAATCTAAGTTAATGAAGGCATACAATTATCTTATGGACTAAGGCTGAAGATAGAGGAGGCGAATTATGGAATATATAAAAATTGCAGAAAAATCAGATGCTATTGAGTTTTAATATCATGTATTAGCCCTTATAAATTTACGAATTCTCTTTATAAATATACATTATTAGATAAGATTAATTCATTTTACAATTCTTTTAATTAAATCATTACTTTTGCAAGTATTTCTAAATTAAATGAGGCTGCCACAACTTTTGTCGTCAGACAATCTCATTGAATATTCAATTTATAATAAGGATTAAGCATTAAGATACCGAGGAATCATTATCTTTAATTAAGAAATTTTTTTTTTCACAAAAAAGCATAAGAATTTGAAATAATAGCCTATATGTAAGAATGCCTATATTTTTTTCTACATTATTAATAATAGTATCAGACAATTTTTGTATGAATAGAAATTGTTTATACGAGGTAAATTAATTAAATTAATATTAATTAAGCTGGATATTTAATAATTCAAGAAACAAATGCGCGGAATCTATTGTGTGATGAAATTTAGAATTTTAAGGCTAAAATGAGAATTCATCACAAAACTCAAATGCTACAATATTTACCCATTAAATTAATTTACTTTAAACATCATTCCTGCTGATTTAATAATAAGCTTCAAAATCGAAAGCTTGTCATTATTTTTACAATCAATACTAAAACATCCCTGAAATGCTGGTTAAAACAGAATAAAATAGCTAGGAAAGAAATACGTTGTGATGCAAAATTTGGCATTGCATTGTGAAATCATCCAAATTTACATGAATTTAAAAATCAATAAGTTACCATAACAGGAAATTTCAATTAATAGATAATGATTAACATTAGTTTAATAAATTTAGAATGCTTATTTTGTTAAATTACAAATTTGCAAGCCTATGATTTAAAATTAATAATAACAAGGGAAATACTATTGTATCTGAGCAAATAAAATTCATTTTGTTACTGGTAAACATAATTGATTTGGATTAGAAAAATATCCTACATTTCAATAAATGTTTACTCAATATTCTACAACTAGTGTGAATTATTTACTTGCTCTTAATGTTATTGAACAAACTAAATAATAAGGAGTAATTAAGGAGTTTGAATCAGAGTGTTTACTTGTTAGAGGAATCTAAAGCTTATTGCAAAATGATAAATAAAGTTAAACAAGACTTTGAAACTAAACTGCTATTTGCTAGAGATGTACGTTTTTGATCTTGATGCTTCTTAAAGACCTTGCAGATTCAGTAATTTAGTAATCAGTATAATAAGTTAGTAGACTACTTTAACTGAGCCAAAATAATTTAATTTTAAACATTGTTTTAAAGTCCTTAAGCTACCATGATTCTATTTAAATTTATGAAATTTCCTACTTTTAACTCTAAATAATTAATAGAACTATTAATTAAATGTTTAAAGATATCTCTACCCATTAAATATTTTTCACCGAATAAAATGAAGATGCTTCTTTGCTTCCGAAATAAACATTTTCTTGCAAATAACTTATAAATTTTCTTGTTTTTTGGTTTTCAATTGAGACATAAATTGTAATTTAGAAAAGTAAAGTTTGCAACCTATTATTATCATGAAAGCTAGATCATACCTGATGGAATAGAATTTAGCCGGATCGAAGATTCTGATCTTAAGAATGAAAAATGTAACATCTCCCTCGGAATTGTAAGTAGTAGGAAATTGTATATATTTGGCTGTAATATGATTAAGGATATAAAATTCCTTATGTAGAAAATTAATGATTGTGATTGCTGGCCTAGGCTTATGATTAAGCTTATTACGTACTCAAAACTGCAATTATATATAGAAAAAGAGATCAGAAGATGAGGAGAAAAGGGCAGGCCTTGCTTATCCTAATTGCACAGCTGCATCTTTACTATGTACCAGAAGCAAAAAAAGAGTTTTTTTAAAGCGACAAGCTTGCTTGTTGGTGGTATTGGAGTATGGAAAGAATGGAAGAAAAAGAATAAACAAGCCCAAATATTGCGAAAATCAATTAAATTGTTCTCTTGATTTGCAAATGAATCTTTAGAAACTCCAAACTGACATTTGAATATTGAGAGAGGTATATAGAAGGGCAATTTGATATTCAATAAAGGGCAAATTAGCGTTTATAGTGAAATTTGTGTATTTCATTTAGAATAGCAAGCGATATTGAAGTTGACCAATACCAATGAGCCAGGGTTATCTGAGAATGTTTATATATTTAACAGGATCTATTGGGGTAGGAAAAATAGGGTGTTGATTGAATTGAAATGGATGAAGGAAGTGGGATTTTTCTTGGTTTAAGTAAGATTATAGATGTATGGTAAATCATGACAAAAAGAATTACTGATAATTAATCTGAAGAGATTCTGGGGCTCATTAATAATTATCAAGTCAGCTAATTTTGTGTTAGCACAGAAATTAGGAAAATTTATAAGAAAAGTAATTTTCAGGAGTTTGAAGGGTTCTTAGAAAGCTATGGACAAAGATTCTGGGTTAAGAGGTTAAGACAATAGCCTTTCATAAATACATATATTGGATTTGTGTTACATCAGACAGTCAGAATAATCCAATCAATTGAAATTAGAGATATGATTTCATAGTTTGTCCATAAAATCTTTGGATAATAAATTTTCTTGGCAGTTTTATCAAAAGAGCACCAATTCTGATTGTTGCATAAATAGAATTAGTTTAATACTTACCTGAGGAAAAGCTAAAAAGAGATCTTAAAAATAAATAATAGAGGTCAAGGTTTATACTTGAGGAGCATTAATGCCTGAATTTATCCTTTATTTAATACATGTGTATATTTAGTTAGTTTATATACTCCTTGATATTAGTCAATTCATCTAAGATTTCTAATACTTTCCGAAATCAACTATCCACTCTATCATATGCTATGGTGTTTGAAAATATATTCTAAATCGTGACTAAAGTTTCCAAAACTTTATATAACTTATGGGAATATAATTATAAAGAGCATAAGAGGATAATGTAGTTTTTTTATTTGTGAGGAGAAAAACGATATTTCTTCATCGAATTAAGATTTTAGGATTTGTTTAAGGGGTAGAAATCAAAATACTAATAAATCACCACACAAGTAAAATAATAAATAAGGATATAAAATAAGTTTAAATTTTTTGTTGAAAATAAATCTGAAAGGAGTTGAGGAGAATACTTACGAGAGAGCAATAATTATGTCGATCGGCTTAATTCTAGAATGAGAAATGTGGTTGTTGCCTAATCAATTATCTATATTATACCATAAATGCAAATATCATAATTTTGTACCAAAATAAAGTCAAATAATAATTTTTTTAATTGTATTTTTAATTTTATTTTTCTAAAGTCAAATTAAATAAATGAAACTTTTAAATTAATTGTATATTTTATTAATGATGTATATAAATATTCATTTTATCTTTTTTATTTCCATAATTAAATGTTTAAACTCCTCCTAATTTGATTGGCAATATAAAATTGCCTGCTCATAATTCTTTAGAGCGGATTAGTAATTCTTGATTTGTTTTAATGCAACACCTTATATAATCAAGATATTTCAAACCTTTATTATAATAAGCATTTGCATATTTTGGATCTAATTCGATTGCTTTATCATAGCAAACAATTGCATCGTTATATTTGTTAAGACTCTTTAATGCAACACCTTATATAATCAAGATATTTCAAACCTTTATTAATATAGGCAGCTACATATTTAGGATCTAATTCAATTGCTTTATCAAAGCAAACAATTGCATCGTTATATTTGTTAAGACTCTTTAATGCAACACCTTATATAATCAAGATATTTCAAACCTTTATTAATATAGGCAGCTACATATTTAGGATCTAATTCAATTGCTTTATCAAAGCAAACAATTGCATCGTTATATTTGTTAAGACTCTTTAATGCAACACCTTATATAATCAAGATATTTCAAACCTTTATTAATATAGGCAGCTACATATTTAGGATCTAATTCAATTGCTTTATCAAAGCAAACAATTGCATCGTTATATTTGTTAAGACTCTTTAATGCAACACCTTATATAATCAAGATATTTCAAACCTTTATTAATATAGGCAGCTACATATTTAGGATCTAATTCAATTGCTTTATCAAAGCAAACAATTGCATCGTTATATTTGTTAAGACTCTTTAATGCAACACCTTATATAATCAAGATATTTCAAACCTTTATTAATATAGGCAGCTACATATTTAGGATCTAATTCAATTGCTTTATCAAAGCAAACAATTGCATCGTTATATTTGTTAAGACTCTTTAATGCAACACCTTATATAATCAAGATATTTCAAACCTTTATTAATATAGGCAGCTACATATTTAGGATCTAATTCAATTGCTTTATCAAAGCAAACAATTGCATCGTTATATTTGTTAAGACTCTTTAATGCAACACCTTATATAATCAAGATATTTCAAACCTTTATTAATATAGGCAGCTACATATTTAGGATCTAATTCAATTGCTTTATCAAAGCAAACAATTGCATCGTTATATTTGTTAAGACTCTTTAATGCAACACCTTATATAATCAAGATATTTCAAACCTTTATTAATATAGGCAGCTACATATTTAGGATCTAATTCAATTGCTTTATCAAAGCAAACAATTGCATCGTTATATTTGTTAAGACTATTTAAGGCATCACCTAATACAATCAAGATATTTCAAACCTTTATTATTATAGGCATATGCATAATTTCGATCTAGTTCGATTGCTTTATCAAAGCAAACAATTGCATCATTATATTTGTTAAGACTATTTAAGGCATCACCTATTACAATCAAGATATTTCAAACCTTTATTATTATAGGCAGCTGCATTATTTGGATCTAGTTCGATTGCTTTATTATAGCAAACAATTGCATCGTTATATTTGTTAAGACTATCTAAGGTATAACCTAAAATTGTCAACAAATAATAATACCTCGCATAAAATAACCCATACTATACTTAGGATTATAATTGAGAGCTAAATCAATACATGAAATCGCTTGCGAAGATTAGACTGAAGCAATTAAAGAAAAACCTATTTTGTGATATAAATGATTACATTTTCTATACAAAGCGTGAAGATGTTAAGGATCCTCTCTTAATACTATTTCACACAACTCAATAGCCTATTGAAATTACTTTTCTTCATTTAATGCATAACCTAAGTAAATTAAATATTTCAATTACTTTTTGCAATTAAAATAAACTTATTTTATGGATTTTTCCTTAATTCTTGATCTGAATAATCTAATAGATCTCTATACAAGTTATTATTCATCTTTTTCGCTTAATCCCTCATAATTATTCCTAATCCTGGTTAGTTCATTTCAATTAAACAAATGCCTAAAAAAATAGAATCAAATTACTTTTAAACAATGTTGCCAACGATAATTATTTTTCTGATATTTTTATAGATTAAGTAATTTTTTCATTAGCCTCCTGCCATTTCTATTAATTTAGTAATTATATTCCTAATTTATTATAAACCATTAGAATACCTTAGGAAAGTGCATTTTCATTATCTTGTTTAATATCTAAAATTTATTATTATCCTTAAATTAAATCCAATGCCTTAATCATTTTTTTTATTCTAACTAATTAAGTTCCTATAAATATTACTTATATAAAATTTACCAATTTAATTCTACTTCATAATCTCCTCTTAATTGTTTAAATATTGATACCATTCTTTTATCACTGATACATTGACTTTCATTTATTAATAATCTTATTGACTTAAACATTCGGATAACATAATTAATTATGTTTTCTTATTCTCCATATATTTTGAGAATTCTTCATATTTTATTTTGACTTATGCAAATGATTTATTCAATTATGTTGCTAAATCGAGTATATTCTAATTGAATTTTGTGATATAACTTTGGATTTAACCAAATCCNCGGATTAGACTTAGATTATTATCAAGGATGCCTTTGTTAAGGCCATAATATACTTAAGTAAGTAAATGTGAATAAGAATAAGAATAAAGAGATGAAATTATATAAATTAAAATTGAAAAGGAAAGAGAAATACTATTAAGAATCAGGAATAGATATAGTATGAGTATTTACAATAATATAAGAATATAGGTCTAATTAAATGTTCTAAGAATGTTTAGATCATTGAAAAGTTTGAATCGGCAGAGGATTACTAAGGATAGATAATGAGTAATTAACGAAGGCTCGTTTGAAACTATGATATAGTTATTGAAAACAGATCGTATGATAGTTTAGAACTGATAGATGTCTAATGGTCCTTAAGGTTTGTTGGAAAGATAGAAATAGGTTCAATAAAAATAGAGTAAATTAGTATAAATGGTTAGTGTTTTTGCATGCTCCTTTCAAGTACAACCTTTATATTTCTTTGTTGAATTCTCTATTAAACTTTTTCTAACTCAGCTAAAAGAATTAAAAACCATGTAGAATCAATGTTATTGTTTGGAGGGGTCTTATATTAAATAAATCATGCCTCAGTAGCGTCAGGGTTGGTGGATAAGATGAGAAATATTTATTTTACAATATTGAGTTTCTCCATTTCTTATTTAAGGTCGAGAAACATCTAGCCTTAGATTGAACCTTATGCATAAGGTTTCTCTTTAGCACAGGTGGAGCCATTCTTGGTTGCACAGTATGAGCTCATAGAACCAAACAACACATCGGTTGACAATGGAAAATCTTAGATAATGTTTTCTTTAGTTTAGTAGAATCAACAGTGGAACTGAATAAACAAGTATTACTAACTATTGATTGTGATCCAAGCATTTTTGTAATTTAAAGGTAATATTTTTATGAAAAAGTTATAGATAGAAATATTATGAAACTCACAAAAAATTTATCATAAAATATCACTGTCATCAAAGAAAACCTTTTTGAACTAAAATAGTAAAAATAAAGAAAATTGAACTAAAAAAGGAATTGAATAGAAAAAATTTAGGAAGTATGAAGTAATTGAAGAATAACTTTCTGTCTAAGGATATAGAAATAACGATTGTATTGATGATAAAATCGATGAAGAAAAAACGTGATAACAACAACTAAATTATGAAAAATGAAAAGTAATTAGATTATTTTAAATTAAAATTTTTATATTTTATTAATGATGTATATAAATATTTTTCCTTAATTCTTGATCTGAATAATCTAATAGATCTCTATACAAGTTATTATTCATCTTTTTCGCTTAATCCCTCATAATTATTCCTAATCCTGGTTAGTTCATTTCAATTAAACAAATGCCTAAAAAAATAGAATCAAATTACTTTTAAACAATGTTGCCAACGATTATTATTTTTCTGATATTTTTATAGATTAAGTAATTTTTTCATTAGCCTCCTGCCATTTCTATTAATTTAGTAATTATATTCCTAATTTATTATAAACCATTAGAATACCTTAGGAAAGTGCATTTTCATTATCTTGTTTAATATCTAAAATTTATTATTATCCTTAAATTAAATCCAATGCCTTAATCATTTTTTTTATTCTAACTAATTAAGTTCCTATAAATATTACTTATATAAAATTTACCAATTTAATTCTACTTCATAATCTCCTCTTAATTGTTTAAATATTGATACCATTCTTTTATCACTGATACATTGACTTTCATTTATTAATAATCTTATTGACTTAAACATTCAGATATCTTAATTAATTATGTTTTCATATTCTCCAAATATTTTGAGAATTCTTCATATTTTATTTTGACTTATGCAAATGATTTATTCAATTATGTTGCTAAATCGAGTATATTCTAATTGAATTTTGTGATATAACTTTGGATTTAACCAAATCCTTTTAGGTCTTTCTTGCAATTAGAATGTTTCTTAGAATCAAATCCACATTATAGACAGAATTGAGGTCTTGAATCTTAACATCCCAAATTTAAACAAAATCCTTATATAGGTTCTCCTTCATGCTCAATATCTTAACACGTAAACACTTTCATTAAATTAATTTATTTTTAAATATTATTAATAACTTTTTAAACCAATTTTTTTATTTATATTGATATTTTTAGGTATTCCATTTATTTACTCTTTTATAAAAGATTTTCAATATTACATCCATATAATTACATTTCACTGTCAAAATTTAGAGTCATCAGTTAAATTACACTATTATTTCTAAAAGAAAACTCAGAAAGTCACAATCTACATATCGATCATTCAATATAAGTATATTTATACTATTAAATTGATTTTTGATTCTCTTTCTTTACTATCATGACCAGATAATAAAACTTAACACAAATTCATCTTATTTAACCTCTTAGCCAACTTTTTTTTCCCAATTTTTATTTTTTTGTCAATAATTTTTTGGAGGATGACTCCTTTCTTATTTCTCTCCAATTGTTTTTATAGGCTCATCAAAGTCTATGCATTTTGAGATCTTGAAAATTTCATAACAGCATTAATGGTTTAAGGTAGAATAATTAGTCATTTTTTTTATAATATGTATATTGTGAAATTTTATTTTTTAATATACCTGCACTATTTTTGCATTAGTGTGGTTTAGAGTTTGACGATCTTTTAATTTTTTTCTAATAGACAATCTTTAAAGTCTAATAAATTTTTCCTTTTTTTTGAACTTTTAGAATAAATATGTTTCTTAATTTTTTACATCACATTTTGTTAAATGTTATTCTTCTATTGAAAAATTCGAAAGTTTGTTTTGGAATGCTGATACTTGAGTGAATTCAAACTCTCGCAAGGACAGGCTATTAAACGGATTTAATAATGTGTGAGGTCTGTGCGGTTTAGTAAAAAAATCTTCATTTTTAAATTGTGCCCCAGTATTATTGTATTAAGAATTATGCTCTTCTTTGATCTATTTCAATCTTATGAAGTGCATACTATTATTCCCTTTTATTTTGGTTACTACCACATTAAAATTTGATAGATTTCAAGTTTGTTTAATAATTATATATATTTTATAAAATACTGGTGAATTGATTCGTCAGAAACTTTAAGACAATCAATACGTTTGGAATAATCATTTCCCCACTATAGATTTTTTATAATTGATTTCAAATCTAACTCTCTATTCACTTTTAGGTAAAATTACATTTATTTAATTATTCTAAACAGAACTAATTAATTTTCAGAACAAGAAAATAAATACATTTTTTTTGAGAAGTAAAATTGATTATGTAATGGTTTAATATTACATAATAAAAATCATAAGTAATTTTTCTTATTTTAACCTTAAAGCAATCAGATCTTTATATTATAGATTCTAAATTAAGATGATGTAGTTTAATTTAATTAATGGCTATTAATTGGTAATGGTAATAAATTTACTTTTCTATTGATTTCTCTTTTTTGGTAAGTTGGATAATTTATACAGTGAAAATACAATTTGTAATTTGGAGGTGCGAACAATTTTTCCAACTAACGGGAATTTTAGGTGATTTTGAAAAACGTATTAAATCTTTGAATGCCATATTTAAGGCATAGTTTTGTTTTCTATTTCAAAAGTTGCCATTCCATTTCCATTACCTCCTTAATTTTTTTTATAATATGTTTCTTTATTCTTGCATGCTCTTATGTACTTTTGTGTGAAACTTGTGTTTTAAAACCTTCATGTATCCCAATATCATTTTATTCCTCCACTAAAATTCCAAGCCGATCCCAGAGGTGGTTCGCTATATGCTAGATGATCATATATTTCCCATGTACTTAGCGCTACTCCATCTATAATTGAACAGATCAAGAAATATTATCCTAGTATTCTCTTTATTTTGTAGGGATTTGATCTTCTCTTGTGCCTTTTGGCTAATAGATTTTTTCATTCTCATAAGACTATCTCTTTATTCAATATCATTTTGCATTTTCTATACATAAGCATTTCATTTTATTTCTTATGTATTCTTTGGACATCAGAAAATAGTAGTATAGGAAATTCTTAAAAAAATGATCCTCCATTTCTGAATTATCTCTGAATTAATGTCTTCTGAATATTTTTGTCTTCACCTAATTACTTAAATATTCTTTTCTTTAAATCAAATTCTAATCTTCCAATAAGTTATTCGGAAAATTTTTGTTCAGACCAAGTACTCTTCTAAAGAATTTCACTTTATTATTTATGATTGCAGGATAGTTGATTTGCTTTAGGGACATAATGTAAGACAGCAATTTTTAATAATTGGGAGTAATCCTTTAGGGTAACATTCTTTTAACACCTTCTAGTGTGCTAAATTTTAAATAACCATATTCGCTACACTTGCATTTGATTTTCAAATTTGACACAGATATTCATACACATTAAAGAGGAAATTTAAGCTTTTCTATAATGTCTCCCTACCTTACAACATTCTATAAGTGTTTCTCATGAATTAGGTGTTTACATATAAAACTCTCGATCGAAATAACCAAAAGAATGATAAAAGCAACAGTTGTACTTCTCTTAAATTATTTTTATCCCTCAAGTCTATCCCATTTGATTTTTCTAAATTAAGTCTTCATAAATTGAATATAAAATCACATAAAAAATTAAATTGAGTATTAACTATAAATTAACTATAAATATCAGCTTCATAGAGTTATTCAATAAGGTGTAAAAAAGCTGTTAAAAGTTTACAAAAAATAATTCATTTTAGTTTTACTTCTGAAAAGATGATAAAAAGTATAATTTAAGAAATTTTATTAAAAAGGACTTTTATAGTTCTTATTTGTGATTTTGATATGAGTTTTAGTAAAAATCATAGTTAGAATTTTATTTTAAATCAGTTATTTAGATGACTAAAAAAAGGACAGTGGATCAAAAATTGCCTATTTAATATAATGAAATTAGATGGACTGATGATGGGGTGATAATCTGGAATTATTAGAAGGCAAAGTAAGATATTAAAATTTATATACATATAGGTATGAATAATTATTTATGGCTAATATAAGCAAAACGCAATTACATGCTTATATTGAATGATCGAAATGTAAATTGTGACTTTCTGAGTTTTCTTTTAGAAATATTAGTGTAATTTAACTGATGACTCTAAATTTTGACAGTGAAATGTAATTATATGGATGTAATATTGAAAATCTTTTATAAAAGAGTAAATAAATGGAATACCTAAAAATATCAATATAAATAAAAAAATTGGTTTAAAAAGTTATTAATAATATTTAAAAATAAATTAATTTAATGAAAGTGTTTACGTGTTAAAATATTGCGCATGAAGGAGAACCTATATAAGGATTTTGTTTAAATTTGGGATGTTAAGATTCAAGACCTCAATTCTGTCTATAATGTGAATTTGATTCTAAGAAACATTCTAATTGCAAGAAAGATCTAAAAAGATTTGGTTAAATCCAAAGTTATATCACAAAATTCAATTAGAATATACTCGATTTAGCAACATAATTGAATAAATCATTTGCATAAGTCAAAATAAAATATGAAGAATTCTCAAAATATATGGAGAATAAGAAAACATAATTAATTATGTTATCCGAATGTTTAAGTCAATAAGATTATTAATAAATGAAAGTCAATGTATCAGTGATAAAAGAATGGTATCAATATTTAAACAATTAAGAGGAGATTATGAAGTAGAATTAAATTGGTAAATTTTATATAAGTAATATTTATAGGAACTTAATTAGTTAGAATAAAAAAAATGATTTAGGCATTAGGATAATAATAAATTTTAGATATTAAACAAGATAATGAAAATGCACTTTCCTAAGGTATTCTAATGGTTTATAATAAATTAGGAATATAATTACTAAATTAATAGAAATGGCAGGAGGCTAATGAAAAAATTACTTAATCTATAAAAATATCAGAAAAATAATTATCGTTGGCAACATTGTTTAAAAGTAATTTGATTCTATTTTTTTAGGCATTTGTTTAATTGAAATGAACTAACCAGGATTAGGAATAATTATGAGGGATTAAGCGAAAAAGATGAATAATAACTTGTATAGAGATCTATTAGATTATTCAGATCAAGAATTAAGGAAAAATATTTATATACATCATTAATAAAATATAAAAATTTTAATTTAAAATAATCTAATTACTTTTCATTTTTCATAATTTAGTTGTTGTTATCACGTTTTTTCTTCATCGATTTTATCATCAATACAATCGTTATTTCTATATCCTTAGACAGAAAGTTATTCTTCAATTACTTCATACTTCCTAAATTTTTTCTATTCAATTCCTTTTTTAGTTCAATTTTCTTTATTTTTACTATTTTAGTTCAAAAAGGTTTTCTTTGATGACAGTGATATTTTATGATAAATTTTTTGTGAGTTTCATAATATTTCTATCTATAACTTTTTCATAAAAATATTACCTTTAAATTACAAAAATGCTTGGATCACAATCAATAGTTAGTAATACTTGTTTATTCAGTTCCACTGTTGATTCTACTAAACTAAAGAAAACATTATCTAAGATTTTCCATTGTCAACCGATGTGTTGTTTGGTTCTATGAGCTCATACTGTGCAACCAAGAATGGCTCCACCTGTGCTAAAGAGAAACCTTATGCATAAGGTTCAATCTAAGGCTAGATGTTTCTCGACCTTAAATAAGAAATGGAGAAACTCAATATTGTAAAATAAATATTTCTCATCTTATCCACCAACCCTGACGCTACTGAGGCATGATTTATTTAATATAAGACCCCTCCAAACAATAACATTGATTCTACATGGTTTTTAATTCTTTTAGCTGAGTTAGAAAAAGTTTAATAGAGAATTCAACAAAGAAATATAAAGGTTGTACTTGAAAGGAGCATGCAAAAACACTAACCATTTATACTAATTTACTCTATTTTTATTGAACCTATTTCTATCTTTCCAACAAACCTTAAGGACCATTAGACATCTATCAGTTCTAAACTATCATACGATCTGTTTTCAATAACTATATCATAGTTTCAAACGAGCCTTCGTTAATTACTCATTATCTATCCTTAGTAATCCTCTGCCGATTCAAACTTTTCAATGATCTAAACATTCTTAGAACATTTAATTAGACCTATATTCTTATATTATTGTAAATACTCATACTATATCTATTCCTGATTCTTAATAGTATTTCTCTTTCCTTTTCAATTTTAATTTATATAATTTCATCTCTTTATTCTTATTCTTATTCACATTTACTTACTTAAGTATATTATGGCCTTAACAAAGGCATCCTTGATAATAATCTAAGTCTAATCCGGAATCTATAAGATGCCCTCTTCTTTGAAACAAATTATATAACCAATAAATACTTTAAATTAAGGGTTCATAATGATAATTAAATTTTATATTAATTATCAATTAATTGATATTTCGTTTTAAATTATATTTTAAGTTTATACTATTTAAACTATGAATGGTAGTTAAAGTAATCTTAGTTTTGATTCTTTATTTATTGTTCTTTCCCAAACCGCCTAGGAATTTAGTATGTTGAATGGTTTGTTTTGCAGTTTTGTAATCTGGATACTTCTTTTAATATTGTAATAGAAAAAAAAATGGTTAGTTTAAATTTTTCAACTTATTGAAATTGTCAATCTGTTAATTATCTGCTTTTCTGAACAGATTATTGTAATCAAAAATTGCGATGAAACCTCTAATTTTAGGTAAATCAGATAATAATTTTATGATGTATCCCTTCAGTTACCTGTAAGTCTTGTAATCTTTCTGTTAGTAATTTGCGAGCCCATGATTATTAGAATTTCATTTGATTGGCACCCACGTTATTTTTTTTAATGCTAATTGTTGTAATTTACATGCAGAAGGAAATTTTTATAAAAGAGCTACAGATGTAACTAACTTTATTCATATTTCGCTATGTTGGACTTCCAAATCAGATAGTTGTAATACCTGATTATATGGACATGTATGAAAATTGTTCGAATTATCTTGGATATCAATTCCCTAAGATAAACAGGAGTTGGTAATAAGTTAGCTTAGGTTGAATTTCTATATAAAAGTAGGTTCTCTTTCAAAAAATTATGTGTATTAAGTTTATTATCAAAAATATTTAGATTGTTTTTGCGCTTTGGATAATGATGAATATCATGCTTAGTAAGTTACATAAGTTGATCATCCTCCTCTATTACGAATCCAGGTAAATTTTGCATATATAAAACCACAGATGGAGTATTTATTCTATTTAAGAATGATAATAGGTGAGAACTTTTAAATCTNATTTATATACATCATTAATAAAATATAAAAATTTTAATTTAAAATAATCTAATTACTTTTCATTTTTCATAATTTAGTTGTTGTTATCACGTTTTTTCTTCATCGATTTTATCATCAATACAATCGTTATTTCTATATCCTTAGACAGAAAGTTATTCTTCAATTACTTCATACTTCCTAAATTTTTTCTATTCAATTCCTTTTTTAGTTCAATTTTCTTTATTTTTACTATTTTAGTTCAAAAAGGTTTTCTTTGATGACAGTGATATTTTATGATAAATTTTTTGTGAGTTTCATAATATTTCTATCTATAACTTTTTCATAAAAATATTACCTTTAAATTACAAAAATGCTTGGATCACAATCAATAGTTAGTAATACTTGTTTATTCAGTTCCACTGTTGATTCTACTAAACTAAAGAAAACATTATCTAAGATTTTCCATTGTCAACCGATGTGTTGTTTGGTTCTATGAGCTCATACTGTGCAACCAAGAATGGCTCCACCTGTGCTAAAGAGAAACCTTATGCATAAGGTTCAATCTAAGGCTAGATGTTTCTCGACCTTAAATAAGAAATGGAGAAACTCAATATTGTAAAATAAATATTTCTCATCTTATCCACCAACCCTGACGCTACTGAGGCATGATTTATTTAATATAAGACCCCTCCAAACAATAACATTGATTCTACATGGTTTTTAATTCTTTTAGCTGAGTTAGAAAAAGTTTAATAGAGAATTCAACAAAGAAATATAAAGGTTGTACTTGAAAGGAGCATGCAAAAACACTAACCATTTATACTAATTTACTCTATTTTTATTGAACCTATTTCTATCTTTCCAACAAACCTTAAGGACCATTAGACATCTATCAGTTCTAAACTATCATACGATCTGTTTTCAATAACTATATCATAGTTTCAAACGAGCCTTCGTTAATTACTCATTATCTATCCTTAGTAATCCTCTGCCGATTCAAACTTTTCAATGATCTAAACATTCTTAGAACATTTAATTAGACCTATATTCTTATATTATTGTAAATACTCATACTATATCTATTCCTGATTCTTAATAGTATTTCTCTTTCCTTTTCAATTTTAATTTATATAATTTCATCTCTTTATTCTTATTCTTATTCACATTTACTTACTTAAGTATATTATGGCCTTAACAAAGGCATCCTTGATAATAATCTAAGTCTAATCCGGAATCTATAAGATGCCCTCTTCTTTGAAACAAATTATATAACCAATAAATACTTTAAATTAAGGGTTCATAATGATAATTAAATTTTATATTAATTATCAATTAATTGATATTTCGTTTTAAATTATATTTTAAGTTTATACTATTTAAACTATGAATGGTAGTTAAAGTAATCTTAGTTTTGATTCTTTATTTATTGTTCTTTCCCAAACCGCCTAGGAATTTAGTATGTTGAATGGTTTGTTTTGCAGTTTTGTAATCTGGATACTTCTTTTAATATTGTAATAGAAAAAAAAATGGTTAGTTTAAATTTTTCAACTTATTGAAATTGTCAATCTGTTAATTATCTGCTTTTCTGAACAGATTATTGTAATCAAAAATTGCGATGAAACCTCTAATTTTAGGTAAATCAGATAATAATTTTATGATGTATCCCTTCAGTTACCTGTAAGTCTTGTAATCTTTCTGTTAGTAATTTGCGAGCCCATGATTATTAGAATTTCATTTGATTGGCACCCACGTTATTTTTTTTAATGCTAATTGTTGTAATTTACATGCAGAAGGAAATTTTTATAAAAGAGCTACAGATGTAACTAACTTTATTCATATTTCGCTATGTTGGACTTCCAAATCAGATAGTTGTAATACCTGATTATATGGACATGTATGAAAATTGTTCGAATTATCTTGGATATCAATTCCCTAAGATAAACAGGAGTTGGTAATAAGTTAGCTTAGGTTGAATTTCTATATAAAAGTAGGTTCTCTTTCAAAAAATTATGTGTATTAAGTTTATTATCAAAAATATTTAGATTGTTTTTGCGCTTTGGATAATGATGAATATCATGCTTAGTAAGTTACATAAGTTGATCATCCTCCTCTATTACGAATCCAGGTAAATTTTGCATATATAAAACCACAGATGGAGTATTTATTCTATTTAAGAATGATAATAGGTGAGAACTTTTAAATCTAATATGATTTTTAGTATCAAAAAATTTTAATTTTTCCTAGTTAAAATATTAATTATTTTCCTATAAGTTCTATACATTCAGAGAGTTTAGATTATACTTGATGTTGAATCTTCCTAAATTTTAAGAACCAATAATACAAACTAATTACAAAAAATCCTAAAATAATGAATTGAGAATAATATTTATAATCACAAGTTCTGATCTTTCTCTCTCTTTACTCTTTATTAAAAAGGCATTAATAGTTTTTAAAGTTGACAATTTATTAAAATACTTATAAGTTCTGAAAAAAATATTTTGAAGAAAAAATGAATTGAAATTTAAAAATTTTCTAATTGCTAATAATCATTCCTAATACATTACTTTTGGGAACTAACAATTCTTGATTATATGAATACCTGAAAGCCATTCAAACACGATTAAGAAGAGGTGAACTCTTATAATAGTCCGGCAAAGTAATTTGGGCCTTTCAATTTGACAATAATACCAGGGCCCATAAGGATTGATTTGATTTCAAAAGGAATGTAGTTTTGTAATTTTGACTACTCTCCTTAGCATATTTAAAATAATGTTCCAGTATAATTACATTCGCTATAAAAGTTAACACAAGGGACAGCTAGCCTCAAAATAATGTCTCTTAATCCCCACGATTCTAATATTCATTTTATATTTTTACCATCCCAAAGATCTTAATCTAAATTATCTTTTAATTTAATTGTTAAATCAGTTCCTATTAGAGAAAATTTAAATGAAAGTGGTTCTAGAGAATCTTAATAATTCTCATTTCTGCAAGCAAATGCACCTTTACCAAATTGAATGATTAGATTTTCTAATAATCCATCATTCGCATAAATCTCAAATCCTTCAGCATCCCAAGAGTCTAATTTCCAAATACCAAATGAGAATTCCAATAATTTATTAGGGGGAATATTTGTAAAGGTTTTGCTTACTGTAGTTTTTTATCCATAAGGACCCATAAATAAACTTTTAGATTCTGAACCACACATTTCTAAAGTTGCACTACTTGTCCCAGCAATTGTAAAATCTGTATATCTACAATCAGCTGCATAATCAGTTATACAATTTTCATATATGACCGATTTTAGAAATAAAATTTTTAGAAAGGAAATTTAAAGTGCCATTTTAATATATTAAATCTAAATATAAAAATCAGTTTTCAATTAAACGAATGAAAGATAAATTTAGGTATCAAACAAAAATTAAGAAAAAGAATACATATTTACTCCTTCCTTATATTAAGATTAATTTTGTTTTAATTAATTATATTTAGAAGAATGCTATCAAATGAGTACCAAACTTTATGAATTAGTATTTAATTAAAAGATATAACTACAATATCTAAATGTTGCTGTTACATCTTTTTCTTTCTTTATTCTTTTTATTGATTACTTTTAGTGATTACTTTTATTGTTATATATTTTAAGCTATATATTAGAATTTTATTATCATGGTAAATAGAAAACACTAAATCAAATTCAGAAACAAATGCTATGTTGTCGAATGAATTAAGAATACAGAGATTTTATGAGAATAGATTAGTATTCTTAATATTATGTAGCAATTTTTGAAGAACTATATTGATAAAATATTCTCTATTAGGAGCTTTGTTTATTAATAAATCAATATTATAAATTAAGGTGTTATAATTTTGTAACTTATATATTATATTAAAGTTATACAATTTATTCTAAGCAAGGAAAGTATTATGCTAGGTCATATTATTTAATAATTTATTTATTTTAAAGAAATAAAACTTCTATATCCTAAGAAATAATTCAGAGATAATTTTAAATTTTACATAATTCTAATTAATTTTAATAATGCTCAATTAAAAAATCATCATTTTGTTTCTTAATATTTATTACAAAATTAATTCAACCAGTTGACGACTTTATATACTTTTGCAGATATTTGAATGTTTAAACTTGAGAAAGAATTTTATAGAAACATCCAAACTAAGCTTATAATTCAGAAGATAAGGATTACTTTTCAATCCATAAAAGAAATTAATATTTATTATCTATTTATATGAATATAATTGCAACATCATTTTTAGAATTATACTTTTACATAGTTTGTAAGACCCTAAAATATATAAATATTTGGGTCTAAATGTAGGATATAAAATGGAAACATATGATTTTAAGCCAAACTTGCCTTAATTTATGAAGTAATTTCAGAACAGTTAGTTAAACTTAAGTCATAGTTATTGCAAAATTTAAAAGGGTGCTGATGAATTTTGGTTAAAGAGGGATATTGTTTTATTAAGCCTTATTAGTAGTTATTCTTAAGAATAAAACTAAAAGATTCATGAAAAGAAATATCATTTTGAGGAAAGTATAGTGCATCAAACAATTTAACTAATTTTTGAGCTAGCAAAATATCTGGGATACAGAGAAAAAATAGCCCTTTTTTAAAGAGAAATTACTGATGAAAATATGCAAAACACTTGTTAAAGTAGATAATTCAATAGGTTTAATGATGGTGAAATCATTGGATATCTGATCTATTGTACAAAATTTTAAATTTATGAAAAGAAAGAGAAATCAGAAGAGAATAAGATAAATCAGTATTTATTGTTTAGAGCTTATATCCATCTTTTTGATTATAAAATTCTATTTAAACCATGATTAGTCTTTAAATATCCTTTAATTTTGGGTAAAAATAAATTTAATTTAATTTTACAATTAAACATTGTTAGAGGTAGAGGAGCATATTATGAAGAGAGCAAGATGGGATTAACATTTAAGAGTCCCACTTTCCAATTTAATACCCTTTTTATATATTCACCTTAATATTGAATTTGTCAGTCGCTTGATTCAATCCACTTTTCAATCCTTATATAATCTTATCCAATTTTTAATTTGTATTATTGGTTAGAAATAAGTTATGCTATCTAACCTTATGAGCAATGCATAATCTCAAACTCTAGATATCATTTTTATTTGTAATTAATGATATTTGTTATAAAACTTTAAAGCAGTCATAAAATGAGTATTATATCGACAATTATTTTATTATAGATTCTGGAATCGATATACTCCACTTTGTAACCTAAATCAAGTCCGATAGTGGGCATTTTTGACAAGATTATTTTAATTTTACAGTGTATTAGAATTTTAAGCTACTTAATTTTATATATTATGAATCTACTGATTATGGCAGGATGGCAATCTAAAATATTAGGTAATTTTTTTAGTGAAGATAATTTATAAAATTGTGAATGCATTTGGAATAAAATATAAAATAATTAGATTTAGGTAAATCTTAATTTAATAATAATTTGTTTGCTGCCTTATAAAAGGATTGGAATTCTTCCTTCTTCTCAACTTGGGTTAAAATAGATCAAATTTTACTGTGGATTAAGAGTTTAAATTCCTTGCTTAAAAATTAAAAATGCACTTTATAAAATTCTTCTTTGTAAAATTAATTAGTTTTACATTCCATCAGTTTCATTTGAAATTTTTTAATTAAGGTAGAGTTTGATAAAGAAAATTCCAATAAAGAGGTATAAGCTGTTTTGTTTTAAGGGAAATTATAATGTAAATATCATAAACTTTTTATTAAGAATCTAGTTCGCACTCATACCAAATCAAATTTTTTCAAGAATTAATTCGATTATTTGTCTCCAAGAATATAAATATTTATTTGCTTGTCTAATTTGAATGTCACTAGAGAATATAAGTTACTATGATTTTTAGATAGAAATATGATTATGAATATATTTAAAATAAGTCATAAATACTTGGAGAAAATAATAAAGATAAAAAAAATTATATTATCATTCAATAAAAAATGAAAAATGATCGCTTGTTTAGATATATTTAGAACCCTTAAATTATAATGCAAATCCCGTTGCTATACTAATTTTTATAATTTAATATTGATAGATATAAAGAAAATTGTCAGCTTTTACAACTGACTTGATTAATATTATTTCTTTTAATATTCAAAAATAATTGAAGTAGGATTACAAGTATAAATTGTTTAAGAATTGATAATTAATCTCCTCAGTACACTTGTAATGGAGAGAAAATGAGAAATAAATTTTGGACATAAGATAAGATAGATTAACAAAATAACATAGAATAAACTAGAATAGACTTTAAGTTATTTAATTGGGAGTAAATTCCATCCAAACTAAGTTGGAGATTTTGGAAATTAATACAATAATTTTTTAAATTGTTTGCCAAACTGTAAGAACACGTCTTAAATGTCGTTGGGTGAATTTCTAGTTTTCAATTTAAAAATTTAAATATATTTCGAAGGGTTTAAACAGATTTGACGGAAAGAAATTCATTTCTTTGAGAACAAATGCAATGTTGATGAATTTGGTGTAATGTGAATAACTAGAGGTAAGGTGATTGGCGATTTTTATATGAAGAGTAAGCTATGCATTTTATATCATTGGTAATTTCATAGTGTCATTGAAAAATATAACAATAATGGTCAAAAGATCGTTAATGAACAGATTGGAAATCATCATAATTCATTTACAAGGGAGGATCTCAAAATAGTAAACTAATAATGAAAATATTTTATAGTGGTGGAGGTTAATGTGATGAAGCATATTGGAGAATTATTTTAGTAAATTGGATTAATATAAGTGATGAATTTCTATTTTATCATCAATTAAGTCTTAAGGGGGCTGAAATCTTGTTTGTGAATAAAAATAGACATAAAATTGGTTAAATAATTTATGGTAATTGATATTGTTATTAATAATTTTAATATTTATTTAATATTGTTGTTTTTCTGATAATGTTTTGAATCAATATTTGATAGTATTTTAATTTATTTGAAAAAAGAAGAATTTTTTTTTCTCCAGAAGTCATTAAATGAAATACAAACTTGATTTAATATTCACACTTATTGATTCAATAAAAGAAAGTAAGTAACAATAATTTCAAAAGTTTAGATATCTGAGCTTATTAATGAATTGATCTATTATTTGAACAAGCTTTTTCTTTTGAAATGGATTATGAACGATTTTTAAGTAAATGCTAAACTGTTTTAATTATAAAAATCGTAATCAAATGCCATTCAGTTGATTTGAATTTGTGAAATTTGAAATCTAAAAGTACTGATATATGGTTTTCTTGAACTGCTCAAGTTTAAATAAATGATTAAAAAAATCTAAATAATAAAAAAATAGCAAGCACATTCCTTTTCTGTTTTGCTCTTTAAATAATGTTATTTTTTGAATGAAAATGTATCCCTTTAACCCATCACACCTGAAAAAATCAAAATCTTTAAAATAAAGCAATATTTCATCTTTAATATTGCTTACTGTTTGATTCTTTAAATAACTCTTCATAAATTTCTTGCTATTTAAAGAACAATGAAAATTTTGAACGTAATTTAAGCTTAACTCAGCAATTTCTTACTTCAAGATCAATTTTTATAGTGTAATATTTTAAAGATATCTTGTAGACTAGATTTAATATTCTGTCTAAAATGAGAACATAGTTTTTATAAATGAATATAGAAAGATATTTTTTCAGCCATGGAATAAAAAAAGAAAAGAAACTAAATTTATAAAAATAATTTTAATAAAGTTAAAAAATGTGATGAAATATCACAAAAGTTAATAAAAAAGGCAAAAATTAATTTAAGTAAACTATGAAATTATTATGTAGAAAAACAAGGAAATTAATTAAGTTGAAGATGAATAGAAGTAATCAGGATAATAATTGATGATGTTTAAGTAAGTTCAATTTAATTTCATTGATGAAAACTAGATTTTATAAAGAATGATCTGACTTTTCTGTATTTCTTAGAGAATCATAGTAATTCAGCTTTAATTAATCTGAAACTGTGTTGGTATTATTTGGTTATCAAGAATTAATATTTTTGGAAAAAGGATTGTAAAGGAAAATGGGACTCTAAAGAATGGATGAATGTTAGGATTATAGCAAGGATTGTAAATCTGTTTCTGATGGATCTAAATGCTAAGACCTCTAATCAATTTGAGAATGGTATGAATGTAAAACCTTAAATTGTACTACTTCAAAATGTTCAACTTACCAATAATCACGTGATGGAGCTAAAATTACCTAATCTAGAAAAAGATTATTCAAGTTATCAGAATCCTCAAACATTTATAATATTTGATACTTTTTAAATAGATTAAATTTCCTAGATTTTTAAATATCAATAGAGCTGATTACGATTTTATATTATGAATTGCAATATAGCTTGTTTTCATAATCATCACAGAAAGGAAATTAAATGTATTAGAAGTGTTTAACTTAACCTAACAAATACTTAATTAATTGCAACTGATAATAAATTGTTTTAGTCTTTGTAATTAAATATGTAATTATAACAAATTGTTTTATTGCTAATACACACGCCTGAGATATTTAGTATGTTAATTTTAACCTTAAAATTCATTTATGAATTATTATAGCATATTTTGGATCTTGAATTAGCTTATTTAAATGAATGCTTTATTCTTAATTGATACTATTTACTCAAAACTTTGAAGCTATTGCAATTAATCATCTATTGTATTAAAACCAAATTCAAATTGGGAAAACCGTCAGGAATTTTTAAATTAAAACACTATAATAATAAATGAAATAATTCGTATTCTATTATTTTTTATAAAGTATTAAATACTTGGAAATTATAAACTAACTAAAAAATCAAGACGAATTCCAAGAGAGAAGGAAGAACGAATTACATTTATAGTAAGCATAATGAAAAAGGGGATGTATAAATAGAAGAGAACTTTAATTAAAGAGTAAAAATGTTAGTATCTCATATGAGTGAACAAAGAATAACGGAAATGAGAATGTGGAAGAGAAAATAAATGATATAATATCTCTTAAAGATAAAAATAAATAGATTAAGTGAAACACTAGAAAAACTATGGTTCCGCAATTTAGATAAATCCAGGATTCTGAATTCAAATAGCTAAATTAGTATTAAATATAGATTTGTTAGAGAATACTCTATTATAATGAGTTTGTTTTGAAATTTTTAGGAACAACGAACATATTAGAAACAGTGCTTTGAGAATTTTTCTAACAATTTAGAAAATCTATAAATACTAGGTGTAATAATTTAAGGTTTGATTTCTAAGCTAAATTCAAAATTCTAAAAAGTGTTAATATGTTTTGGAGATCTATCATTCATATTATTTATTTGATTTTTAATCTTGAATAGAAAATTATTCGATTAAGTCTTTTTCCAGCATTAACAGTTACTAATAGCTTAACGTTAGATGAATAAGCAATTGCATTTATAGTACTAGTATACCTTTTTAGTTTATCAAGGGCTTTTCTCATTTATTATCAAAGAGAATGTTATATTTTTTGAATAATCTAAATCTTATAATTGAAACTAAATCCTTTCATCATCCTATTTTTAATTCTTTTGCAAACTCACTTACACTAATATGGTTGTTCAATACCTGTAAGAAAATTTATTTTGGATTAATCGAAAAATACATGCTTAACTTTTGAAATTGTCTGAGTTTAATTATTCATTTAATAATTCTTCCTTATATATACTATTAAATTTATTAGAAGAGCAAAAGTTTTATTCTTAATTATTTTAGCTTTTGAACTACAATCTTCTATACCACATCTCTTTATAAGCAATTTAATAATTATATCATCTTAATTTTCAACATCCTACTGGGGTCTTATCCCATCTTAATTATTTAATACCTTTAAATATTAGCATCTATTTATCTCCTGATAACATTTATTCTTTAATCGTCTACTCAAAACTAATATATATAATTATAAATTAATGTAATCAAATCTTCAGAAATTTATACTCAAATACCCTTCATTCTATCAATTAAGAACAAATACTACTAAATTGTTTCTTAAATCAATATCTACTTGATAGAGGCCTGGATGAAACTGTTCTCCCATTATTAAATTCAAATATTGATTATCTAATATATTAAATATTTAATAAGATTTGAAATTATCAAATATACTAAAATATTCATACAATTTCAAACCATTTAATATTGTTTTTATAATTGTCCCAAGAAGTGACATCTACTATTCTTAAACTCNTCAACTTACCAATAATCACGTGATGGAGCTAAAATTACCTAATCTAGAAAAAGATTATTCAAGTTATCAGAATCCTCAAACATTTATAATATTTGATACTTTTTAAATAGATTAAATTTCCTAGATTTTTAAATATCAATAGAGCTGATTACGATTTTATATTATGAATTGCAATATAGCTTGTTTTCATAATCATCACAGAAAGGAAATTAAATGTATTAGAAGTGTTTAACTTAACCTAACAAATACTTAATTAATTGCAACTGATAATAAATTGTTTTAGTCTTTGTAATTAAATATGTAATTATAACAAATTGTTTTATTGCTAATAGTATGTTAATTTTAACCTTAAAATTCATTTATGAATTATTATAGCATATTTTGGATCTTGAATTAGCTTATTTAAATGAATGCTTTATTCTTAATTGATACTATTTACTCAAAACTTTGAAGCTATTGCAATTAATCATCTATTGTATTAAAACCAAATTCAAATTGGGAAAACCGTCAGGAATTTTTAAATTAAAACACTATAATAATAAATGAAATAATTCGTATTCTATTATTTTTTATAAAGTATTAAATACTTGGAAATTATAAACTAACTAAAAAATCAAGACGAATTCCAAGAGAGAAGGAAGAACGAATTACATTTATAGTAAGCATAATGAAAAAGGGGATGTATAAATAGAAGAGAACTTTAATTAAAGAGTAAAAATGTTAGTATCTCATATGAGTGAACAAAGAATAACGGAAATGAGAATGTGGAAGAGAAAATAAATGATATAATATCTCTTAAAGATAAAAATAAATAGATTAAGTGAAACACTAGAAAAACTATGGTTCCGCAATTTAGATAAATCCAGGATTCTGAATTCAAATAGCTAAATTAGTATTAAATATAGATTTGTTAGAGAATACTCTATTATAATGAGTTTGTTTTGAAATTTTTAGGAACAACGAACATATTAGAAACAGTGCTTTGAGAATTTTTCTAACAATTTAGAAAATCTATAAATACTAGGTGTAATAATTTAAGGTTTGATTTCTAAGCTAAATTCAAAATTCTAAAAAGTGTTAATATGTTTTGGAGATCTATCATTCATATTATTTATTTGATTTTTAATCTTGAATAGAAAATTATTCGATTAAGTCTTTTTCCAGCATTAACAGTTACTAATAGCTTAACGTTAGATGAATAAGCAATTGCATTTATAGTACTAGTATACCTTTTTAGTTTATCAAGGGCTTTTCTCATTTATTATCAAAGAGAATGTTATATTTTTTGAATAATCTAAATCTTATAATTGAAACTAAATCCTTTCATCATCCTATTTTTAATTCTTTTGCAAACTCACTTACACTAATATGGTTGTTCAATACCTGTAAGAAAATTTATTTTGGATTAATCGAAAAATACATGCTTAACTTTTGAAATTGTCTGAGTTTAATTATTCATTTAATAATTCTTCCTTATATATACTATTAAATTTATTAGAAGAGCAAAAGTTTTATTCTTAATTATTTTAGCTTTTGAACTACAATCTTCTATACCACATCTCTTTATAAGCAATTTAATAATTATATCATCTTAATTTTCAACATCCTACTGGGGTCTTATCCCATCTTAATTATTTAATACCTTTAAATATTAGCATCTATTTATCTCCTGATAACATTTATTCTTTAATCGTCTACTCAAAACTAATATATATAATTATAAATTAATGTAATCAAATCTTCAGAAATTTATACTCAAATACCCTTCATTCTATCAATTAAGAACAAATACTACTAAATTGTTTCTTAAATCAATATCTACTTGATAGAGGCCTGGATGAAACTGTTCTCCCATTATTAAATTCAAATATTGATTATCTAATATATTAAATATTTAATAAGATTTGAAATTATCAAATATACTAAAATATTCATACAATTTCAAACCATTTAATATTGTTTTTATAATTGTCCCAAGAAGTGACATCTACTATTCTTAAACTCATTAAATCAATATCAATTTTTCCATAACCCGATTATAACCTACCTTTAATATCTATTGCTATATCATAAATTTAAAAAAAAGTCTTCGACTCTTTGGGGCTTTAAATGAAAACAAGATAAACTGAGTTTCTTCCTTCAATTAGGATATTTTTCTATATTTTTTTAAACTGTTCGAATAATTCTACCATTTCTAGTCTGTTAAGTTAGGTATATTTACTACTCACTAAAAGTAATTTGTATAAAAAAAATCAAAATAAACCCTCTAACTCTTTCTTTACCACTTAATTTTAAATTTGCAAAATCAAAAATATATTAGGTCTAACTTGCTACTACTAACTTATTCTGCTAAAATATATATTCTTAAAATTGAAAATAAACTGTTTAGATGTTAATAATAAAATTTGCTTTTAATTTAGCATCAATTGAATATTTTGATATGGTGTGATCTTCATTTACTAAGTAAATTTCTAGAAATATATTTTTATTTCTGTACTCAAAGTATCACATTCTATTCACTTAAATAAATATGATAACGAATATTATAAAACCATTCCTTTTTATCATAAGAACCTCCACCTCTTAAAATATAGATAATGCATATAAACTAGAGTAAATGAATTTTAGACAGAATCCGACAAATGATATCACTACTATCAGTTTTTGTCCTTATTGATAAACCCCACTATAAAAAAGATCCATTATTTTCAAACTCAATCCAATTCCCAAATTCTTTTCCTCCCCTTCATAATCACAAGATCCTCCACGATAAAAATTATGGTATCTGGAATTATAAAATGAATATTTATTGTAATTGATTGAAAGATTCTATCTTCCAATTTTTTTCCATTTTATACCTCTAGCCATATACAAATTTATATACCACCACCTTTATTTCAATATACTACATTACCAGAAAATTTTGTAAAGATTTGAATAATATTCAATAGTCCATAAACCAACCTTATCTATTGTCTTTCTTATTTTCACCCATAAAAAGAAATAAATTATACCTCAAACTCTAACTATTTTCCAATTTAAATCCATCTTAAAATACCCACATATTTCATGAAGCCCTCGATATTATTATTAAACAATCTTTCCGAATAGGTTATATTCCATCTACCTTCCTCTATCCATAAGCCCACTTTCTTTTAATTCTTCGTTAACCGTCTTTCGATTCGATGTGCTTGAATACATCTAGATTCCTAATTATTTCTGACCTAATTATCAAATTATAATTAATACACCTTTTATTAATGTCAATTATATGTTTAGAGAAATTCTCTATAGCATATATACTAAATTTCATTAAACTTACATTATGTATTTCAAAATTTAGTTTTCTAATAGACCTCGTCAAAACCAGCATAAACTTCCTTTTTGCTATTAGCTAAAACTCTGGAAATTATTATTTGATAATTTCTATGAATTTTTCTCTTTCTGATTACAACAACAACAAATTAGCATATTATAATTAATTAAAGAAATGGAATTTTAATTTATTCCAGTTATTTAATTCATTTCTCAATAAAATATTTAGTAGAATCCCAAAATCTGAAAAAATTATTCTGATGGTGATAGCTATGACTACATTAAAGTTCAAATAAGCAGCATCTTAGACTTCAATACTATCTGATATTCTTAAGAAGCATTTTCTTAAGTCATTCCATATTCCCATTAGCAGAATATCAGTTTATTTAAATAAGGGTGGAAATGCGAATGTTTTTAATTATTATGTATTTAGTTCAAAAATTTTCGCTTTGAGTCTTAGTTAATTAAGAATCATTTATAATTGAGTAATTACTTCATATCTCCTCCATCTTACTACTAAGATTCACAACATAATTTTCTTTAACATGTATGAATGTGCAACTTTAATTTTATATCGAATATTACTAAATTTTAGTATTTTATAGTCACAAAAATATATTTATCATTTTGTAAAAAGTTGACATTGGACAATAGATTCAAAATTGATTCACATACCCAAACTTTTATTTTTCATATACTTTAGAGCATAGAAATTCTACCTCCTTTCTTTTGATAATAATTATTTGAACATATATAATTTTTAAGATGAATATTTATGTTAGTTAATAAATCAGCTGTTCATTGGATTAGCCATATTTTTCAAATTGTTGTTATTGAAAGGGTTGGTGCTATTTGATTTTATAATGAAAGGTTAAAATGCTTGTGGTTACCAATTTTCAGGCTGCAAGATTGGTTCTTAATAATCTTATGGAAGAACTTCTAACAAAGTAGTGGGTACTTATACAATTGGCTTTGAACTACAGCATGTACAACCTGTAAGTATTTCAAAAATATACCTTCAAAATTTGGGTTTATTTTCACATGGTATGAGAAATTCACAAGATTACCAGCTGTTGAAGGTGTGAGAACAATCGCTGGATGTTTAGCATTAATCAATTGCAATGAACATCCAGTTGATGCAGATGATTATAGTTTCGTTCCTTTTTATATTCCATTCTGTGAAAAGGAGTTTATTTTAAATTCTACCCTGTATTAAGAACCAGAATTAGATCTGATGTTTAGTCTACTCATTATAATCACATCAACATTTCTTATGTTAAGCTTACAATCTGAATTATCTATGTCATACGCTATTTAAATATATTCTCCTGGTTAGTATAAATTTTTGTCTACTTTTGCAATTATTGAACAAGACTATATTTAAAATCATGTTTACTCCTTATTTTTTACAGCACCAGGTCGACAGATTAGCAGTCTCTTTTTCTTAAGAAACTTATAATATTTCTTTAATTGGTTCTCTAATGATTATTTCTTATTCATTCTTGATATCATTAATTGATTTAGAGGTCGATATTACTTGAACCTTAATTTTGTAGCCAACACTTGCCAGAAGGCCATCTGAATAATAAAACGATCCAGGCAGATCTGATGGAAGATCTAATTAAAAAGGGAAGACAAATTGTCCAATCATTAGCTTTTCGTCTAAAAATGTATTTATAACAACAGTGTCTTCATAGAATACATTTTTCCCATAATGTGTAGTACTGTTTTTCCCAGAACCAGTTTACCAGCGAGTTTTCTCTTTTCCAACTATTGAAAATTGAACGACATTTCCATGATAACCTGATTTTATTATGTGAAGGTATATATTTCCTAAAATGGTAGAAAAATTACCTTTCACAACATCTCCAGCAAAGTAAATAGATTTTTCTGTCCTAACCATAATGCCTCCAAATTCTGATCCTTGTTTGTTACCCATAAAATGTTAATGATATAATTAATTACAGTTTCAGAATTAATCACAATATAAATACTCAGAAGATTGAGTTCATTGATTCTAAATATGGAATTAAAGCTGAAGTTCTAACTTTTTATTTTACAATAATAGAATGCATTTAAATGTTAAAGATTATATAATCCCGTTATCGCTAAAATTTTATCATTAATTTCCAAATTATTTTTTAGCAAGATCAAACACTTTTAGATCTTTTAATGAATTAATTAAATAACTAACAAAACTCTAAGATTAATAATAATTGTTATAACATAGAAATCTCAATGAATCTTGATTATTAATAATACCCTTAGGATTATGAAATCCCATGTTTAAAGAAAAGTAGACACTTATTAAATAGGATGCTTATGGCAATATATTAAGAAAATTAATAAATATTGGAACATATATAAGAGACAAATATCATTAATAAATAAATGAAATTATGACTATAAATGACATAGGCTATTTTAGTAAAGAAACATCTAAAATACAAAAGGAGTTTGTTTCAGTCAGAGATTCACTTATTTAGAGTATCAAAGGATTGGTCGAAAATTACAATGAATATTAAAAAAATTACATTTTAAGAAAAGCCTTTTTAGAGAAATAAATGAAGTCCAGGATAATTAATATATATTTATAATGAAAAAAAGACCAGCGATATGTTGTCAGAGTGGCAATAAATAAAGCATTTCTAACATAAAATAATATAGTTGAATTATCTTCAAATTCAATTTTTTTAATACTCTTGATATTATAGATCCACTGAAAAATTGCTCAAAATAATTCAACAGAAATTCAGAACAATACTATTGTTGATAAGCATTTTTTAAATCTACAAGCGAGTGCATCATAAACAGTTATTTGAATATCTTCTTCTTAAAAAATATATTGAAAATGTCTCCGAGAAACTAAAAAGTATAATTAAGCAATATTGTTATGATAAAGTAAGTTAGCCAGTTTTTTCTATGGAAGTTCAAAAAGCTAATAGATTATTGTATTTTTTTAAATTTTATAAATTATTTAATTATTTTGAAATATTATACGGAATCTGGAATTTTGCTTAATCTAAATAAAAAAATGGCTAATAAATAAATTTTGTAGATGATAGGAATCAAAGTACCAATAACATACAATCCAGTAAAGATAAAATAATGAATCCACAGTTAGTAAACTTGAGATCCATGTATCAACGATAAATCTCCTTGAATATAATAGTTATTGGCTGCTCTTTTAAAATAAAGGAATTTTATCCTATTTGTTTAAAAATAACACCCAAGTCCTCTAATATTATTTTTATCACACTCTTCACATTGATTGAAAGTAATAATTAAAGTTTAAGGGTATAAAACATTGATAAATTTGAGAGATGATTACTGCTAAAGGGCATCTAGCATTCCCCAAAATGAAAGTGCATTTCCTAATATAATTACAATAATTGATAAAACATATATTGATAGAAAAGATACTTTACTAACAAAATAAATAGTTTGAGCTATTTCAACCGATTAAGCATTGAGATAATTAGGTTAATATCATTACAAAAATTGACCGTACTTACTAAAGGTGCTAGATTATCATTGTATAATTATTCAATTAAATTTGACTGTTAATATAGGATACTAAACTTAATTAGTAAATATCTCAATTTATAAAATGTATTCTACATTTTATGTAATATTATACTAAGCAGAATAAAATTCTGTAATGATAATATTATAATAAGTTCCATTTAAATCCATAATTGAGAGTTCTATAGCATCTTAATAATCAATATTACAAAGTAATTAAACATCTTAACTAGCATATTAATATTAATTGTTCTGCTGGATAAATTCACACATAAGCTAAGGATACAGTGAAATAAAACTAGGTAAGAATACTTATATTCTGAGCCACATTGAGTTATTATGTTGGATGGATCAATGTTTAGGAAATTCCAATTTAAGCTCATATAACATTTTACTATCAGATCCAGACAGAGTAGCATCTGTAAATGCTGAATAAACTAAGGTTTTAAGGGCTACTATTATATAAGAGGATAAAAATCAAGAGCATTTATTTACAAGAAAGGATTAAATAAAAGTTGTGTTAATTAATAGAATTTATAACATATTTTTAAAATGGATTTCTCAATTTTAATTAAATGCGAATAAATTATGTTTTATGGAAAGATACAAAATTTTAATCGATTTTTATTTCAACCAGGTAAGTATTACTTTTGATGAAGAATAAGGTAAGTAATTCATAAAATCAAGCTTGCATAATACCATCTCAAATTTTAATCTTAATCTTAATATAACTAATTAAAATAATATCAAAATTTTAAGATTAAAAGAAATAAGTTTTGGATTTTTTCTGAGGAACATCATTGAATAGAATCAATTTAGTTTGTTATGGAGATTAGGCAAATATATTCAAAAGTTAGTATCTTAATAACTATATTATTAATATCTCATGCTAAAATATAATCAATTAAAAATTATTGAGTTAATCATAAGACTAAATTTTGATATAACAATAAAATTAATATGAAATTAATCAAATTATAGAATAGATTTATCAAATAAATGATAAAGTAAGCACTGCTAAAATAATTAGTAATTAATTTTAGTGTAAAAATTCAAATTTTGAAAATATATTGAACTAAACTAGTGTAATCCTAGAAACTTAAAAACATTTTCAAACTATGTAATATTTAACTCTAAAATGACAGCAAAGATAATTTTGGTTATATTAATTTTAATTTTTTAACAGTAATTTAGATTTGAAGTTTGTTGATTCAAATCTTAAAAAAGTATCTCCAAATTTTAAAATCAAAATGCATCTAAGATAAAATGATATATTGCTGTATAAAAGATGTGTAATCCCCAGAGCTCGAGTAAGTTATTACTTTATATTAACAATTCAATTTAACTACCTTAAGCATAATTAAGCAGCGAGGCAAGTCACATGCAGATGTATTACACCTCTTTTTCATTCTATAAGGCAAAGTACATTGAAATTATAATTGGGAATAGAAAAATATTTAAAATAAAAGTGAGGCCTTAAGAATCCTATGATCACCAAGGAGTTATTGTAGGAGTATATAATTAGCCGACTAGGATAAAATCAAATCAGGTACAGATAGATGGAATAGATTGTTATCTCAGATTCTAACTCCTCCAGATGTTGATAGTATTTATATGCTAATGATCGATCATTAAGAATTACTGTTTTAAGTAGAAGCGCGAGACTGAAATTGAGCTTTTCGAAAATTTGTGTTTTTTAAGAAGAATAATCTCAAAGGCAGAAAAACTTCAAAGTTAAGAAGTTATAAAAAGAAAACCTCATTTTATCAATGGATTTGAGGAAGGCTTGAGAAGCATGTCGTGAAATATTGATGCACCAACTACCTAAAACTTTATTTAAAGTTTATTTTGGAATATACAGAGATAATCAGTGTAATGAAATGAAAATCTAAAAGAAAATAAGGAAGGAGCATTATGTGATAAGGCTGCAAAGGGTTGGGGACTCTAATAATTGACAGAGGAATAAGAAGTCATCAACAAAGGGACAGCAGAATTATGAACGATACCTTAATATATACTATGTAGACTTGTACATAAAGGATTAAATGAGTCAAAAAGGACTAAGGAAAGATTAAAATTGCTTATCAAGAAGGAATTTCAACCAAGAAGATTTATTAGAAGTCTTAATTTTGAGTGGAGTTGATGTAATTTTTGAGATTATTTTATTTCAATAATAACAATTTTCAGTAATTTAATTATTATTAGACTCAAATTCTTTAAATTCATTTATGCTAAATTTTTGTGTTTCTGGATAAAGGGATATTTGATATCGTCTAAATTTTATACAAACATTGTTATTTCTCTAGTATATTTGCCAATACACTTTGAATACCACCTTTTGTTAATTCTATTCAGTGATCTTTTCTGCTTTTTGGCATCCCAAGACAGGATGAAACTCACGACCATTCACTTAGCATAATATAGGAAATTCAATCATATCACACTCTTTATTTCTTTTAAATTAATTAATCTTTTATTTAACAATCACCCCAACAACACTTTTTAATCATCAACTTGACTCTTGCTCTTCTATTTATAAGAAATGAATATAAGAAGTCCTACAATTAGTACACCTAACTTAATAAGGATTATGGCTCATCATCATCAGGATCTTATAGTTTACCTTAAAAATTCAAAATATACTTTTTCCTTATTTTGAGTTTTGAAAACTCAAATTACTAGGAAAAAAATAAGAAAAATACAAATTTATAAACTAAGAAAGCTTTTTTGAGTATTTTTTGTTTACAAATTAAAATTTTTTGAATTAGTTTGATGCTAAGGATTACATATTTTTTTGGGTAACCTTTACAATTTTTAAAATTCATTAGCATCATGCATATTTATATTTCTTTCAAATTTAAATTGATGAATTTTTGAGGAACTATTATTTGATGGTTTATTTATTATTCAATTTTATAAAATAATTAATTAGAATTATTTTTTTTTTAAGTTGGATTGATTAATTGATTATTAAAACCAACAAATATAAAAACTGGTAAATGCTTTTCTCTGATAAATAAAAAATAAATTTATATTATATAAACTATGCTAAATTAGTCTTAAGATCCTAACTAAAACTAAAAGGAAGTAATTCAAATTTTAAATATTTTTCATTTATAATCAAAAGTAATTTGACAATATTTTCTTTTAATTGTACATTCGAAAATATATAAATTTAATTTAAAGACCGCATTTCGAAAACCATAACAATATCAAATATTATGTACTCAAAAACTCATTTTTATTAGTCCATATGAACAATTCAATATCAAATATAGAGAAAAGATCAGTGATATAATTAAAATAGTTAATAATAATATATTTTGAATTGCATCAACTGAATCTAGTGTGACTTAAAACTCATAATGTAATAGTAATGATATTTTTTCATTTTCAAAAATGACAATCTATTAGATAATATTTTTTATTTCAAATTAATAACAATTTAGAATTCTTATTTTAAATTGAATTCAATAATATCTCTAAAATATATAAGGCGAGGTTGGAATTAATAATTTATTGAGATCATTATAACTATAAAAAGAAATTTATGAGCGATGCTAGTCTATGAAATAAAAATATTCAGACTTTCATAAAATTATTCTACTATAATATTGGAGAATAAACCATAACAGAGTCCAAAAAATATGTGATTAGCTTAAATTGAAATGTGCCATGTAATCTTTTAATTCAAAATTATTTCCAAATCATTATTGTTTAATATAAATAGATGGTTAGAGCTTTGATGTGCTTAAATTACATTATAGATAATTACAAAATTATACTGTTAATGTATAAAAATTCTGTTTCGAGTGCGACAATTCTTACTGCAGTATTATTCAAATGACAATTAAGCATTGCTATTATTAATTAAATTTTCTGCAATTATATTTAATTTTATTCAATAATTATAAATTTTACTTAGCAAGTTTTGAAAAGTATGTTCAAATACTCTTGAAATTATTAATCTTTAAAATTTTAATGTAGTTATTTAACATTTATGAATGTTTAAAATCAACCTAAGAAAGTTCTGATTTGTACTTATCTAATATGAATTTGGTAATATAAATACTGTAATTAAGAAACATTACCCGTATTTTGTAAGTACTTATAGATCTATATTTGAGTATCTACATATATAAATTCTTTCAATGTATGGAATACTAGAATTGATTTTATTTAGTAAGATATTGTAATCTATCAACAATTATAATTATTACCCAGTAAACTCAAATATTGCCCAAATAGAAGCAACTAGATAAAAAACAAAAATTGATTCTTCTGAATATTTTATAAAATGTCTTTTTTACAAAATTCAAATTGATTTTAAGTAATTTCTTTTTCTACCCTTAATAGTGTTTTATTCTATGTATCTACAGAATATAATTATACAAATTTATAAGACCTACAAAAGAGTAAAAGGTTTAGAGGTTGCCAATAAAAGAGTTCATCATAATATGGCTCTGCCTCTGTTAATTTATCAACTTTGAATAGCATTTCATTATTAAATTCATCACTATTAGTTAATAGAATTTGATAGAATTATACTAGGAACTTGGATTTTTTTTAATATACAAAGGATAAATCCGATTCACATATAATTTTTGATCTATCAAAACGTAATACTCTATTTTCAACTTTTGCATGAACAATTCCAAACTTGAAATAATTCCCTTTAAAAAAGACATTCCTTTCAACTTTAGATCATTAATGATTCTAGTAGTTTTAAAATATCAAATGCAAAGATGGACTTTATTGTTAATTTAATATGGATTCAATTTTACTTGTCTCTAGTTAAAAAATGTCATTTAAGTCCAAAAAAATGATAGGAATATAATTATCTGTAAATGGCCTCGCTGTTCATCAAAAATTTACCCTTATTAATTATTAAATCTAAGAACTCTAAGGTCAAATAATTTTTATGGCAGGAGGATTCATATGTTGAATGGAATAATAGCTCTGTAAAATTGGAGTTACAGGTACCTTAAAGCTCTAGAAGATATGGGGAAAGGTAAGAAACGATAAATCCTTAATTATTGTAATATTTCATGATGAAATAATTGAACCTTCCATAAGTTCCTAGACTCAAATATGTTATTTTGAATCGCTCTGTTTAGCTATAATATCCGTCCATTTTAGCTAGCTGTGTAGACTACTAGCCCTTACATGTAAAATTTTATCTAAAGAATTAATTGCTATTTTTCTAGGTTTTACACGGAAAAGACCATTAGTTTAACTATTTTTTAACTGTCCCTATAATTATTGATGAATTAAATTAATAACAAATAATAAGCCAGTGCCATTTTTGAGCAAAAGTTGTTAATGATCTGAAATATTGATAAAATCAAAATCAGAGGATTGAAAAAGTAACTCAAAATATCAAAAGAGATAATAGATGACAAATTTAACATTTAGTCAAGTTCGAGATTCGAATTTGATATTTTTTGGATTTACGAAAAAATCTTACAAAAAATTGACTCTATGTGTAGTTTTAACAATCTTTGATGCGAAAGGGAAATGGTTTTTCCATACAATAAATTTCATCCCAATTATGAATTTTGCAAAGCTAAGTTTCATATACCTAATCACTGAATTTTTGTTTAAATGATTTGAACAAATGCTTAAAAAAATTGATTTATAATAATAATAAGTTGATAATTTTTTCGATTAGTAAATAAATAAAAAATGTTNTATAAATAAAATGAAAAAAAGATAACTTGAAAGATATATAGAGGATAATTTAGTAATGAATGGGAAATATATCGAAATTTGTGAAAATGAACTCTTATATGAGTATCTAGAGTTGAATTTAAAATAATATCTACAGTTTAAAGGTAATTTAGATTATTAAGGCTTTAAAAAAATAAGTCGTTTGGTTAGAAAATACCTTACCACATAAATAGTCACAAAAATATTTTTTATACAAAATTTGAATTTTTAGTGTAAATCCGATTCACATATAATTTTTGATCTATCAAAACGTAATACTCTATTTTCAACTTTTGCATGAACAATTCCAAACTTGAAATAATTCCCTTTAAAAAAGACATTCCTTTCAACTTTAGATCATTAATGATTCTAGTAGTTTTAAAATATCAAATGCAAAGATGGACTTTATTGTTAATTTAATATGGATTCAATTTTACTTGTCTCTAGTTAAAAAATGTCATTTAAGTCCAAAAAAATGATAGGAATATAATTATCTGTAAATGGCCTCGCTGTTCATCAAAAATTTACCCTTATTAATTATTAAATCTAAGAACTCTAAGGTCAAATAATTTTTATGGCAGGAGGATTCATATGTTGAATGGAATAATAGCTCTGTAAAATTGGAGTTACAGGTACCTTAAAGCTCTAGAAGATATGGGGAAAGGTAAGAAACGATAAATCCTTAATTATTGTAATATTTCATGATGAAATAATTGAACCTTCCATAAGTTCCTAGACTCAAATATGTTATTTTGAATCGCTCTGTTTAGCTATAATATCCGTCCATTTTAGCTAGCTGTGTAGACTACTAGCCCTTACATGTAAAATTTTATCTAAAGAATTAATTGCTATTTTTCTAGGTTTTACACGGAAAAGACCATTAGTTTAACTATTTTTTAACTGTCCCTATAATTATTGATGAATTAAATTAATAACAAATAATAAGCCAGTGCCATTTTTGAGCAAAAGTTGTTAATGATCTGAAATATTGATAAAATCAAAATCAGAGGATTGAAAAAGTAACTCAAAATATCAAAAGAGATAATAGATGACAAATTTAACATTTAGTCAAGTTCGAGATTCGAATTTGATATTTTTTGGATTTACGAAAAAATCTTACAAAAAATTGACTCTATGTGTAGTTTTAACAATCTTTGATGCGAAAGGGAAATGGTTTTTCCATACAATAAATTTCATCCCAATTATGAATTTTGCAAAGCTAAGTTTCATATACCTAATCACTGAATTTTTGTTTAAATGATTTGAACAAATGCTTAAAAAAATTGATTTATAATAATAATAAGTTGATAATTTTTTCGATTAGTAAATAAATAAAAAATGTTGATTCTAATTATTAAGATTAAAAATATTGATAACATTTAAAAAATTCATTTAATATATGTTAATTTTTCTAACTTGCCAGACATAAGCATTTCATTTATAATACACTCTTTGTATTGCTGGTTGCTTGATGTTTGAATCCCCTAAATCGAAAAGTTGATGATTTGCAAATCTGTTCGTTTACTAATAACAAAATTTTTGAAAGCAAGTTTGAACAATTTTTAAAAAAGCTGGCTTTAATAAGACGTATATATCTAAAATCAAAGTAAGGCTTAAATTTAAACTCATAATTCCAATTTAGATCCATCCGAGAGTAACCAAGTTTTAAGGACTTTTTTTAGAAAATTCATGAAATATATAAATAAGATTCATTAAGAAAAATGTTAAATGCTTAAATTATTTCTTATAACCATCCAGTTTTTCTAATTTATTTCGTTTCAGAAAAAGAAATGAAAAATAACATAGTTCATTGATAGCGCAAAGCTATATTTAAATAATTGGACATTCAAAACATCCTACTAAAATTATTCTAAAAATTATCTTTTAGATACAACTATAAGTATACTAAAATTCGCTAAACCTATGATTCTATTTGTTGATTAGATAGTATATTGTAAAGATTAATAAAATGATTTTTAGGGTCAAACTTATAATTCCTTAAAAATTGTAGTTATTTTAATATTGAAATGATAACATCATGTTTATAACATATTCATATATAAGAGATTAGAATATTATTTTAAATTATACTTTAAACTGATTTCCATTATGTTTCTTGCAGACTTTTGCCAAACGCTTTAAAAATTTTAATTAATAAAGTTTTAGCGTTTCAGTTTTATATTCTGAAATATAATTTATGAGTTTTTTAATTATTATCTTTGAAAATAAATGGCTGGAATAGGCTAAGAAAAAAATTGAGAAGACTTCTAAAAATGCACTCAAAAAATTTGAGCCTCTTCCATCATCTTAAAAGATTGATTATGAATTTTCCTAAGTTATATTGAAAAAAATATAGGTTTATGGGTAAAATCCAATAAACTCATAAAAGTTTGCTAATTAAATTATTTTAAATGTGTCAAAAAACTTTAGCAAATTTTATCCTTTGATAATATTAATGTATTTGTAATAATATAGCATTTACATCATTTCTATTTAATTTTCTATGATCTAAAATTTTCCACTTAAAGAAGAGACCAGTACTAATCCAGCTATAATTTACATTTGATATTCACTAAATAAAATGATAGACCCGGTAGTCTTTTATTCTTGAATTGATAAAAGATTAGGAGATGTTAATTATATCTATATTTGTTGATATTCTTATTCTAATTCTTATTCATTTATGATGATGCTTAGATCATTAAAATTTAGAATGAAGATCGGATCAACAGTTCTTTCTAAATAAAAAATTTTTATTATAATTTCTACATTGTCTAAATCTTAAGACTGTCTAAGATTTGCTTCAATTGTAACATTTACTTTAGTGTTTACAACATAACCAGTTAATGAGTTTAAATATTATTCTAATGTACTATTAGGAGAAAGTCTCATCTTTTAATCATAATTTAAAGAAAGAATTTAGCAATTCTCAACTGATTTTACAAACTTTAATTAAGGGACAGGATGAAAGATTTAAATGCATTCATTCAAAAAGCAAATGCTATTTTTTGATGGTTAGCAATCTGAATCACATCCATCCCCATCAATTAAATTGCCATCATCACATAATTCATTTTAATTAATATCACCATCTCCACAATTAGCTTGGATTAAATTTTCAACAGGATTATTATTATTAATATAGTTTGTATTATTATTCGTATTATTATTAGAATCTTTAAATTATTGGATGCAAATATTATTTTCGCAATTCATACAAGTTTGGTTATCACATGTTTATTTTGATTTAGGTTCACATAATTCATCCTATAATTAATAACCTTCGAAGCAAACCAGGCATTAGTTATTTTCATCTAAAGTCATGCAATTCTTATCTATGGTTAATTTACAATCTAAACACTTTTTAGTATTTAGAACATCACATTCTTCATCTGGAACTGCCTTTATTCCATCACCACAAGCACTAAAACAGGATCCATTTTATTAATCGAAATAATAGCCTTTCTAGCATGCAGTACCATCATCGGTACAAACTCCAGCTATACATTATGGGCAAAGAGGATTACAAGAATATTTACATTCAAAACATCCATCATATGGATCAAAATTACCGTCTTCACAATCCTCATATATAGATTTTAGCCCATCTCCACATACATCATAACATTAATTTATTAGAATGTTGTAGTAAAGACCATCTTTAGGATCACACTTCGCTTTAAGAAGACATTCATTAGTTTACACAATGAGTAGATAATCCTATTCACAAATTTGGCACAATCCAAACAAGCATTCAAAACAATTATCTTTACATTAAAATTAACAGTTTGAGCATATAATATTATGTTAGATTAAATTATGTTCACATTACTCAAGATCATTAATGGAATTATCTCCACATTTACTCTCACATTTAGACCTACTTGCATCTAAGTAGTAGTGATCATCGCAAATAATACAAATATCATTGATCTACTCTCTGCAATATTAAATATAAGATTAACTCATATGATTTTATTCTAAAAAACTTTCTTATTGGGTAATTTAATTATTTTCACTCTATTAAATTGCACAAATTCCATTAAATATTTTGAATCCTAATTAACAACTTAAACATCTTCCTGACAAACATACTTAACAATTAGGACCACAATGAAATTAACAAAAATGACAACCATCAAAAGGGTTTATATTACCGTCATCACAATCTTCCCCAGAAACAATTAATTAATCTCCACAAATATTCTGGCATTTATTTTAAATCAATCTGAATCCTATCTAACATTATAAGCATCCGTTAATTTGACAATTTAAACAACTAGGTTGACAGGAGAATTAACAGTTATAACAGCCATCATAAAGCAAAGAATTCATATCTTCACATTTTTCATTTCCAACTTTTACATTATCATTGCATTTTTCTAAACATTAGTTTCTCTAAGTATCAAGGTAATAATGATCAATGCATTCTAAACATTTTCCACTCTGGCAAGTCAAACAAACAGTAGTTTAACATTATAACTTACAAGTCGAGCTGCATCCATCATTGGCAATTATATTAAAATCATCACATTCCTCTGTATTTCTTCCATATGGATCAATTGCAAGGTACCCATCCCCACAAATATTAACGCAAAAATAGCTTTAAGGTTTGAATCCAACATCTTTACAGTCCAAACAAGTTTTTCCATCTGAACTGCACGTTTTGCAATCATTCCTGCACAGCCTCTTACATTAAAAACAATTATCATTTTAGTCCAGATTATACCCATCATCGCACTCTTCCAATCCTATAACTATTGAATCTCCACAATTCTCAATACATTTCTTTTAATCAATGTTGATAATCCAACCATATGTTAAACATTAATAACATAAACCTCGTATACATTATGTACATTAAACTTAACAGTCTAACTTGCATTGATAACAACCGTCAAATTAAGTATTATTACCATCATCACATTCTTCAAGACCACTTGTGATTCCATCTCCACAAATATCTGGACATGGAAAAACTGTTAAAAGATTACAGGTCAAGCATTATTTTGGGCACTAAAATTTACAATTTGTGCAACCATCATTAGTTTATTAATTCCCATCTTCACATTCTTCATCACTTGTTAATAAAAAGTCTCCACATATTGAGATGCATTAATTATCAACATTTTAGAAACCCGACTAACATGTAACTAGGTCACACGGTTAATTATGCCATTTTATTATTTCATCTCCGCATTTTTTGTAACAGTATTATAAATTTACATCTTCCTATAATGGACATGCTTAACAAAAGTCATTAACTTCATAATATCCTAATAAACAATTGCATGAAAGTCCCCTTAAAACTCGATATTCATTTGGATTACAGCTTAAGCAGGAATTATCAAAAGATGAAAAACAAGTCTTACATTTTTAATTACACTTGGAACATTTAAAATTAGAATCATCAAAATAATATCCATCTTAACAATCACAAACATCACCTTTTTTCTCCATTTTATCTAGCTATTATTGATTTGCTTCTCAGCCATATACTGTGTGATTTTATAAAAAAAAATAATGTTTTTTGAATTATTTTATAATAAATGCATTGAGTACAATGACCATTAGATGATCCATAGCATTTCTTGCATAATTTGTTGCAAACTTAACATTTACCCCCCGTATTATCATCATAATATCCATCATAACATAGGCATTAATTTAGGTATAAATAACGATATTGTTATTCTTCACAATGGATGCAAAAATCCTTCTAGTTTCTACATTATTTACATTTAAAACTGCAGTCTAAATATTTTTATTTTATACCTTCACATAACTAAGTTTGGTGATTAAAAAATTACACAGTCGAACACGTTAATATACATTTGGTAACATATAGTTTATATGGATAAATGCACTAGGTACATTCATATTCGTTAAAACAAGCTTCACATTCTTCTGGACAACTCTCACATCTAAAAGACTAATTATCTAGAAATTATTAAGGACCACATTGAGATGGATCTAATTTAATAATTGAAGTGTCGATTGTAGCCATCTAAATGCAAGTACTTTCATCAGTACATTCTAAACAAAACGGACTACAATAATGTACAACTATTTAATAATCAGATAAGGCACAATATCTGTCTTAAACATTATTATATAACCCAAAGCACTCAAAAGTTATTAATAATGTAGGTGAATACTATGAAATATTTATTGTTACTGTTTTATTCTAACTCACTTAAGATTCTGTATTATTAATTGAGTATATTAAATAGCCTCCGCCACTCTAAAAATTACATCCAAAAATTGCATCAAAATAAATAGTTAATGAATGATGTGGTTTATCTATTGTATATGTTTAAGAAAATTTTGCGGTTGCCCAAACATATTACCCTCCAAATACTGCTTTTGAAGATATATAAGACCAATATATTAAATCCCCCTTCTAAAAATCATTTTTAGTTGAGGATTCTAAAATAAAGATTTCAGATAAATTATCAGGAACAGTAAAATCAAGGAATAATCTCATTAAATATTCTGAATCTAAAAAGATGATATTAATTTATATACATTTCGTCGTTTAATGATATTTAATGCAAACATTATTTATAAATTTTGAATCTTTGGGGCAAGATAAGGCACATTTTCCATCTGAAACGATCCTATATCCAGTTTAGCAAATAGAACATTCATATGCTCTTTCACACTTTAAACAAAATGCAGGGCATTAAGCGCTTGCAAGAACAGAATAAATAATATACCATCCAGAATTAGAATTTCTATAATCATTATTATAATTACGTAAAATTTCCTTTGATCGAAAAATTCACACTGCCTTGTTCTACATAAAGATTTGTTTACAATAGATACACATTTGCTGTTTAGCATCCGCTATATGACATTGTATTTTAAGCATAAACTTCTATATTATCTTTTACAAAACTTATTCCATTATAATAAAATGAAGAGTAATATGTCGAATTTAAATAAATTGAAATTCCAGAGTTGCTTGGAGTGGCATTACAAAATAGAACAAAAATTTATACACACAAAGGATAGATAAATTAAGTTGAACTGAAACTCACTTAAGCTCCTTCATTATTTTTGAAAATTCCGAAATAAGGCCCTAATTTTTTATTATTACTGCTTAAATTTGCAGGATCGTAAATTATGTTCCATTTAATTAATTATGTATAACTATAAGTAATGAGCTAAAGCCAAAGCACATATTATATTTCAAACGCTTTGCAATATCTCCCTCTTTTATCTGGAACTGCTAGCAGACAAAAGCTCAAACATCTATAAAAAGAAGGGGGCTCACCAGATAAAACAGTTCTGATTGGACATCGACATATACCATCAATTAAGCTAACATCTGAAAAGCAATATGTGCATTAATTATAATTATCTCCAGAACAAGTTTTACAAGTAGAATGACACAAGTAATAAGAAAAATGAACATTTTTAATTAAAGCCAAGCTTTATTGGTTAACAATACTGAATTTTAAATTTGTTAAAGAAGTGACTTATTATAATGCTACTCTTATTGTTTTCACTTGATATAAACTTGAATTGCAGCCTCCTGAATTAAATTATAAAGGATTCTATGTAGTAAATTAAAACTAGTAGTTCTAAGATTTATACTCCAATTTCAGGCTATCTTCATTCCACTAAGTAAGAAAGTATACATCAAAGCTTAAAATATGATTTTTGCCATTTGCTTTCAAATTGTTGATTTATTCACTTAAAGTAGCCATGGTTTAGGATTATTTTAAAATTAAAGCAGTTCCTATTGGATTGGTGCAATTTGAATATAGAGCGCTATTTTATGTCCCGCTATTTTTGAATTAGTAGGGGCAAGAATTGTCAGAACAATAAAGATAAGATGGTTAGTGAAAACCATTATAGTAGACTTACCACTCCCCAAATACAAATACAATAAGAATCAGAATGTACATGTTCTTATGTAGTTTACTAATTATAAAATTGATTTCTCTAGCCATCTTTGCAATTTTTTCTTAAATAAAGTTGAATTTTCTACGTAGATTAAATTCTATAATAATTCTACAACTTGTTTCTTGTTTTAAAAATGCAAAGATAGTTTAGAACATTTTCAGGAAATTCTTCAATCCGTAATTTTAGTATTTTTACTTGACTTCTTTAATTGAGATTTTTTGAAAATATTAGTTATTTTTGACTATCTCCAAAAGAGAAATATTTTATAACAAAAAAAAACACTAGTGAAAGACATAAAATTATTGCTTGCAAATCAATTGTCTTGCAATCCTTAGAAAAATTAAGTATTGATTTAATATATTCAATTCTTAATGTTGTAGGGGTTGTTTAATAATAATTTAATTGGAATAAGAATTAGCATAAAGTTAGGAGTTAGAGGCCTTGACTAGTATCTATACAAGTTAAATTTCTCTATTTTCATAATATCTATGTGAGTCAATTTGTATTAAGATGATTTCTATATATCTGGATTATATCTTAAATTGTTATTGATATATAAATTTAATTGAATATGAAGAAAAGAAGAGCATTAAAAGGGCTGTTACCATTATTTGAATGATTTTAAAGATGTATGATTTTATGTGCATCTGAGATTTTAGGTTAGACTTGTGAAGCCGTATTCAAATAAAACAAATTAATTAATATAATTAAATCATGATTAAATGCAATTATTTTGAAATAAAATTTATTAGTTGAATGAATAAATTTTTTATAAAACTGAACCCACAATCAAAAAAACTGTAATGAATACTTTCTATAGTGATTAGAAGGAAGAGAAATTTCAAAATAAATTAACCTTTTCAAACCAGAGTTAGCAATTTCTGATCTATATAATAATAAATCTTCCTTATCAATTAATATCTCAGTAAAAGCGTAAATCTATTTTAGAATAAATCAATTAAAATAAAAGTATTATAGATAGATAAAAAGGTTATTCTAGAAAATTTAAAATTAGTTAAAAATTTGATTTTTTTTTATTGTGAAAAAGTAATAAAAGGTGAGAATGGCAAGAATGGTTCTTATTCTTAAATAGTAAATTTAATCAACAAATTATAAATTATTTATTTCAATGTTGGGAAATGTATTAAGTTTAATTCGATTTCGAATTTTCAGATTTAGCTTCATTTTTAGAAATAATTACTCTCTTTAAAAATCTCATTTTTCCAATAATACGTTATTTTACAAATTAA